ACCAGCTAAGGACCATCCACCCCCATGACTTCTCTAATCTAAACAATCTTAGAATTTTGCAGTTAGCTTCTAATTTTATTGTAGAGTTTGAAAACATCAACTTGCCTTCTCTTCAAAGACTTGACATCGGTTTTAATTTCTTAACTCATATGAATTTTAATCATTTATTGGATCACAGAATTCTATATATCAATGCTGAGAGTAACAGAATCGTTAGTGCTATATCCACACATGCTTCACATGTAAGTATCAATGTCAACAACAATGGGATTGGATCATTAAATTCAAGTTTGTTATCTGGGTATAATGTTTTTGCATCCAGCAATAACCTGACCAATTTCAACCAGGTTCGTATTACACCAGGTTTGATTGGACTTTACCTCAATAAAAACCACCTCTCATGCATACCTGATTTTACTTTCTCCCTAGCATCCTCTCTCGAATTTCTTGAATTGGCTGACAATCTAATAGTCAAAGTAACAAATTTATCCTTTGTTGGCCTTCAGCTCGTTAGAACTCTGAATCTGGAAAGAAATCAAATAGTCCACCTATCTTCTGGGGTGTTTTCATATATTGGGGATCTGAAAACTCTTGAACTGAGTGGAAATCCTTTGACATATAAGTCAAGTCGGCCATTTATGGGAATACAGGGTCTTGAATATCTTAAACTTGCTAATATGCCATTTTCAAATGTGTCCCTTCATGTGTTGGAAGACATTCAACTTGTATATTTACTAAACATTGACAAAAACATGGCTTTAAGACAATTTTTCATCAACAAAGCAAGTGTCTTTTCTTTCACGATTTTCCCAAACCTACGGCATATTTCCCTGTCGTCCAATGAACTCAGAAACCATGAGTGTCCATTATTACATATTAAATATTTACAAGGGATGGATTTATCCAATAATCTGTTTAGTTCTATTCCTAAATACTGCTTGCCAAACTATGCAGACTCTCTGAACTTGTCTCGCAATAGAATCAGGAGTGTCAATAAAGATTCTTTTGGAGAACTTAAACAGCTCTGGGTACTGGATTTGAGTTACAACCAAATTGTGTCTTTCGAATTCAGTGCCCTGGAACATCAGAAGAACTTGGTAACTCTACATCTTGCAGGCAATCTACTGACAACACTTGATATTAGTTTCTTGTCCTTCTCTTTGAAGTCAATAGTAATGGATTTACAAGATAATCCTTGGTTATGTGATTGTGACCTGATCATGGCTGTCCGTATGCTGGAGTCCTGGATAGATGATCCTGTTGTTTGCAGTCAACCTGCTGGTTATTCCAACTCTAGTTTAGTTGAACTGGCCACGTCCAATAACTTCACATGTCTACCTCAACTGTGTTCTCAGCCACTGCAGACACTGTTGACATTCATTGGTGATCAGTCAGTCGAGATACCTTGCCCAATCATCACCTCAAATCTGTCGGATATCATTCACTGGTCATTTACCTCTCATAGGCAACAACTGCCCTCTATTGGTAGAGAACTGCCAGACAGTGTTTCTGTCCTTCCTCACAATGCCCTCTTTATTGAACATGTCAGCCTGAACCTGACAGGGACCTATACCTGTTGGAGTGAGAATGGGGCTGGGCGGACAAAATTCATGGTGAACTTGCTTGTAGAGGAACGATCAGGGACGGTTCAGAAACTTATGGAGGATAATGCATTGACAGTGTTGGCCAAGAATTGGAAGGAAACGCTCTCCTGTGGTAACTCTGGAAGCCGTAATATTGATAGATCAATTACAAGAATGATATCGTCTTTATTAGTAGCCCTCTGGCAGCTGAGGGAATGGAAGAAAAATATTTTAATTTGAAAACAAATGGGATGAGGGTAATTTCTGTTGCCTAATACATGTTCATGTGTCTGGGAGGCGAATGAATCAATGTATAAAAAAAAATTGAAAAGGAAATGTTGATTATTTTCCCCCTATACAATTGTGCTATAATGAACACTTAGCGAAATCAAAAATACAAATGTCTTTTTCTGAGAATGTATTTTAATCTTTGTTTTTATTGATTGTTTGTTATTATTCAAACCATTTGTATGGTTCTTATTTTTGTGAGAGTTAAGAAATATTAGATTGTATCAATGTACCACATGTATACTGTTTATATCTATCTATCTATCTATTTATCTATCTATATCTATCTATCTATCTATCCTAGTTTAAGAATGAGTCCATTTCATATCATATTGATAATTCCAAAACCTTGCTGGACACTTAATTTTTATTTATTATGTTATGTAGATGTAATCAATCTTTCATTGTTGATTCAAGACAGTCTCTCTTTAACAGAGTAAGCATATTTAGAACTCAACCACCGTCAATCTCTGTGTATAAGACGCACCTGTGTATAAGACGCAACCCTATTTTTAAGACAAAAAAAAAGAAAAAGTAGCTTTTTTTAGCAGACACCGTAGTACGTTTGAAAAGCCAAGTGACTTTCATTTTGCTACGAGGTGAAGTTGAAGGCGCTGATTTGTGATTGTGAAATTGGCACAAATAATATTAACAATGTCGTTTTTTTAATTACCGTAAATCTCCGTGTATAAGGCGCACCTGTGTATAAGGCGCACCCCTATGTTGTTTCTGTTGTTGTTTTGTTTGTTGCCGAAAACCCACGCGGGGAAGGACTTTCATTTAACATCGAGGTACAGTTGAAGGCGCCGATTTGTGCTTGTGAACTTGTCACAAATTATAGTAACAATGTCGTTTTTAGAAGAATGTGTAAGATCATTAATGTAAATTAAAAACAGTAGAGTACCTAGGAAAGAACCTTGTGGTACGCCATGTAATAGAAGAAAAATTTGAGGAATTATTATTGTAAAGTACATATTTTGAAAGTAAAATGGACATTTACACATATACTCTTTTCACACTGGTTTTGCTTAACCCCGTACTTTGCTTAGCCCCGTACTATCCTTAACCCCGGACTATTTTTTTGGCTTTTCACACTCGCTGTTTTTAGTCCCGTACTAGCGCCTATTCCGGAGTAAGAAAATTTCTGCTGTTCTCACTGCATTTCGTTAACCCCGGATATCGTGTATGTTATGATTGGACATACTTCGCATCTGGCCAGCTGCGATACGCTCCATTGCGTAGTACCGGACTATTTTTCATTTCTGTTCTCATTCATTTGCTTAGCACCGCAATTGCGGGGTTAGCAGGAGTTAGCACCACAATTGCGGAGTTAGCCCTGCTATTTTGCAGGGTTAGTTAACCCCGTACTATAGGTGGGGTTAGCCAACTTTAGCCCACTTTGGTAAATACCAGTCTGAACAGAAAGTGGAATAGGCTTAACCCAGTACTATAGGTGGGGCTAAGACCCCCCCCCCCCCCTTAACCCCACCTATAGTACGGGGTTAAGCAAAATATTGCCAGTGTGAAAACAGTAATAGAGTAAAAGGGATTGCATCACATTTGGCGGTATTCCATTTCTTTTATCTCAGGGACGTTTCCTCTGGGGAGGTGTTCTGCCATTAATCCCCAGTAATCTCCTTCTTTTTGGGACATGCCTCCCGGTCCTTTCTGTGCTGGTCTAGCAAATAATAGGTAGATACATTGATTTATTGTGGTAAATCAGAAAAATCAGAACTGGTTTTATTATTTACTATATAAATATCTACCTATCCCTCTGTTCCCTCTCCTTGCCCAGCAACATGTCCAAAGCGTAGCAAATAATAGGTAGATACATTGATTTATATAGTAAATAATAAAATTAGTTTTAATTTTTGGAGAATGCCCTGCCAAAATATAGTATGCCAACAAACTTTTTATTGTATCCCCCGGCAGTACGCTGGTGAGGTACTTTGGATTGAGCAGCGTTACGCCATGTTCGCCCCCGCCACCGCCGGTCATATTTTGGTGGCTGTCTTTTGTGTGCTCTAACTGCCACATTTCTTGACACATTTCTTTCATACTTTCTACAGAAATGCATTATACTCTAATCTACACACATATTGTTTTGGTGATGCTACTCCTAGTGATCATCTCTACGTCATCTTTTTGTTTCAGAGAGGGGAGAGGGGAGTTTTGTCCTTCCTTCCAACATAAGGATGACACAAAATGGTTGCCACTGCCGGGGGATACAGATTGCGATATTTCTAGTTTTAATCCCGTCTGTTAGTATATTTTATGCTTCTTCTTGCTAATGCCCATCACACATTCAAATATCTTATTTTTAGTATGTTTAACAATATTTTCATACATTTTTCGTAATAATCTACTCTTGAAATTGCTTGAAAATCATGAAAAATCACTGTGATTACGACCAGAAAATAAAGTACACATACACAATCAATGGATGTAATATGTCTGAAAGTATCTTTTTATCCTTTAATGAATCCTTCAGGCACTTACAAAGGTCTCATTGAAAGCTAATTATCTTGAGATGAAACATGAGATTTTGAATCATGGATTGAAGGCAAATTAGCATTTATGCCCTCTAGTATTTCCACTTCATTATGTATCAAACAGGCAATTACTATATTCTATAACTATTGAGTTTTTACGTCACAAAATTAGGAATCAAAGCACCGTGCATGATGTTGGGTAATATCTCTTTTTACAGCAGCAGTCAGATCAAGCTTTTGTCCCGCTTCAATTCACTTAGAATTGCTTCCGAACAAGACAATGGTAGGAAGAGGAAAGGAAATCTTTGTCTGGGCATGATCAGCAGTATACGTCCAAACATAAGACATTTAGATCATTCAATGATCTGCTTCTGCATTTGCATGCAGTTTGTAGAACATTCTCCCTCTGCTACTCTGCTCTTGCTATACATTGTATGTTCTCTACCTTGAAGACTTTAAGTTCGCATACAACCAGCCACTCTTCAAATCTTCCAGTAAGGAATCATGGACTGCTCTTGTCATCAGTGTCTTTTGTCAGGCTTTTAAATGCTTGCACTCTAAAAGTTCCCAGATTGGCTTCTATGGATTGGACATTCTACTTCAATCTGCTTTCGCTCCTGTCCATTAAACCGGCAAGATGAATCTTCATATCTTTTTGTTTGTGCTTGCCTTCATTGGGAGAACAGTCGAAGGAAAATGTCCTGTTGGTTGTGACTGTGAGAGGGTAAACGGTTTGGTCAATGTGGACTGCGCTTGGTGTGGTCTTAACAATGTTCCAGAGGACATTCCATGCGATGCTGGTGAAGTTGACCTGCATACTAACTATATCACTAGACTAAATAAAAAGTCGTTCTCCTGCCAAGCCCAGTTGAGTAAACTTTTCCTATCACAAAATAAATTGAAATACATTGAGAAAAATGTTTTTGAACGCTTGATGAAACTAACATACATCGAATTTGAATCAAATGAACTTGTGAGCATTCCATATCTTGGCTCATTACCTCGCCTTATTGATGTATCTATCTTTAAAAATTTCTTTGTAGAGTGGCCACAGTTGTTTCTTTCTAGTATGCCAGAAAGACAGCCTTTCAAGATGAGTTTGGCATACAACAAACTATCTGATGCACCAAAAGTTCCCTTCAAAATATGGAACCTTAATCTTGAAGGAAACACTGTTACTGATCTGTCCAATGCAGTGTTTACACATCCTGAAGTGATTTTAGAGCTGAATATTGATAAAAATAATGTAGAGTACCTGGAGAAGTTGCAGAAGATGGACAATCTTACGATACTTTCCCTGGAATACAATGGAATTCGAAGCATTGCTGACACAACATTTGCCTACCTTCCTTCACTTAAAAGAATTAACCTGGCAAGAAATAAAATTGTTGATGTCTCACCCTTCAGAAACATGTCATACATTACAGATATAATACTGGCAAAAAACAGTATAAGACATATCCGTCACCCTGCTTTTACTAACATTCCAAACATAGCTGTCATCTATCTTAACGATAATGAAATTGTTTGTTATATGCCTCACTCGGACTTCAGTGTACCATCGAGCCTTCTTCTTGGCCGCAACAAAATATCAGTTATGGACATGAATCCTGCAGGGAACTATTCAAACGTAGTAATTCTATATATCGACAACAACCATCTTGGTAACTTTTCCATTCATCCGTTCCCTGGTTTATCTAGTCTTTATGCTTCAAACAATTTCATTAAAGATGTGATATCTCTCAAGTATGAACATCGTTTTCTAAGATACATCAACTTGTGCTATAACCAAATCGGGAGTGTGAAAAACTTTGAAAACCTACCTGCCCTAAAGTGGCTGTTTCTCTGTCATAACTCCATCAAAACCTTGGATGATAACAGCCTCATCGACTCGTTTAGTCTTCTTACCCTTGACCTAAGCTACAATAAGTTGTCAGAACTCCTAAACTTCACAGCTTTGCCTGCTCTGAGACGTCTTGATTTATCAGGCAACATCCTTCATGTGATAGGAAATGCAACCTTTGACCACCTACCAAGGCTTGTTACTCTCAACCTTAGCCAAAATCAAATCTCAAAACTTGGTTTTTTCAGTTGGATGCCATCACTTGAAACTCTATCTTTAAGTCACAACCAGCTGAGGACCATCCACCCCCATGACTTCTCTAATCTAAATAATCTTAGAGTTTTGCAGTTAGCTTCCAATTTTATTGTAGAGTTTGAAAACATCAACTTGCCTTCTCTTCAAAGACTTGACATCGGTTTTAATTTCTTAACTCGTATGAATTTTAATCATGTATTGGATCACAGAATTCTATATATCAATGTTGAGAGTAACAGAATAGCTGAGGTTATATCCACTCATGCTCCACTTGTAAGTATCATTGTAAACAACAATCGGATTGGATCATTAAATTCAAGTTTGTTATCTGGGTATAATGTTTTTGCATCCAGCAATAACCTGACCGATTTCAACCAGGTTCGTATTACACCCGGTTTGATGGGACTTTACCTCTATAAAAACCACCTCTCGTGCATACCTGATTACACTTTCTCCCTAGCATCCTCTCTCATATTTCTTGAATTGGCTGACAATATGATAGTCAAAGTAACAAATTTATCCTTTGTTGGCCTTCAGCTTGTTAGAACTCTGAATCTGGAAAGAAATCAAATAGTCCACCTTCCTTCTGGGGTGTTTTCATATATTGGGGATCTGAAAACTCTTGAACTGAGTGGAAATCCTTTGACATATAAGTCAAGTCGGCCATTTATGGGAATACAGGGTCTTGAATATCTTAAACTTGCTAATATGCCATTTTCAAATTTGTCCCTTCATGTGTTGGAGGACATTCAACTTGTATATTCACTAAACATTGACAAAAACATGGCTTTAAGACAATTTTTCATCAACAAAGCAAGTGTCTTACCTTTCACAAATTTCCCAAACCTACGGCGTATTTCCCTGTCGTCCAATGAACTTAGAAACCAGTGTCCATTATTACATATTAAATATTTACAAGTGATAGATTTATCCAATAATCTGTTTAGTTCTATTCCTACATATTGCTTGCCAAACTATGCAGACTCTCTGAACTTGTCTCGCAATAGAATCAGGAGTGTCAATAAAGATTCTTTTGGAGAACTTCAACATCTCTGGGTACTGGATCTGAGTTACAACAGAATTGTGTCTTTCAAATTCCGTGCCCTGGAACATCAGAAGAACTTGGCAACTTTACATCTTGCAGGCAATCTACTGACAACACTTGATATTAGTTTCTTGTCCTTCTCTTTGAAGTCAATAGTAATGGATTTACAAGATAATCCTTGGTTATGTGATTGTGACCTGATCATGGCTGTCCGTATGCTGGAGTCCTGGATAGATGATCCTGTTGTTTGCAGTCAACCTGCTGGTTATTCCAATTCTAGTTTAGCTGAACTGGCCATGTCCAACAACTTCACATGTCTGCCTCAACTGTGTTCTCAGCCACTGCAGACACTGTTGACATTCATTGGTGATCAGTCCGTCGAGATACCTTGCCCAATCATCACCTCAAATCTGTCAGTCATCATTCACTGGTCATTTACCTCTCATAGGCAACAACTGCCCTCTATTGGTAGTGAACTACTAGACAGTGTTTCTGTCCTTCCTCACAATGCCCTCTTTATTGAACATGTCGGCCTGAACCTGACAGGGACCTATACCTGTTGGAGTGAGAATGGGGCTGGGCGGACAAAATTCATGGTGAACTTGCTTGTAGAGGAACGATCAGGGACGGTTCAGAAACTTATGGAGGATAATACGTCTACAGTGTTGGCCAAGAATTGGAAGGAAACGCTCTCCTGTGGTAACTCTGGACGCCGTAATAATGACAGATCAATCACAACAATGATATCGTCTTTATTAGTAGCCCTCTGGCAGCTGAGGAAATGGAAGAAAAATATTTTAATTTGAAAACAAATGGGATGAGTGTAATTTCTTGGAAGCGTAGAAAAAAGCCCTTTTTATTCAAGAGAGCATTTTTGAAAGTGAAATGTTGATTTTTTTTCCCCCTATACAATTGTGCTATAATGAACACTAAGCAAAATCAAAAATACAAATGTCTTTTTCTGAGAATTAATTTTAATCTTTGTTTTTATTGATTGTTTTTGTCTCGCCTGTGTAGCAAAAAGCGAGACATAGGCGCTGCTTTTCCGGTGACGACTACGGCGGCGGCGGCGGCGGCGTCAACATCAAAAACTTGACCTAAGGTTAAGTTTTCTTAGTTAATGAAACTTTGACTTTAGGGTAATCAAGTCTCCCCAATCATGTGAGTAGAATTTCAGATCACAAAGTCAAGGTCAAAGGTCATTTCAGGTCAACAGACTTGGACTATGTTGTAGCATCATCATCGAAAACTTAACCTAAGGTTAAGTTTTTGAATTTTTGATATAATTTTGAAAGTATAAGTTCTTAGTCAATGAAACTTAGACTATAGGGTTATCAAGTCTCCCCAATCATGTAAATAGAATTTCAGGTCACTAAGTTAAGGTCAAAGGTCATTTTCAAGATTTTCAAAATGCTTCTTTTTCGTTATTTTTCAACCGATTTTGATTCTGATTCTGATTCTGATTGTTTCATATGATAGGACTAGGAGGGGGATTTAAAATTTCTACACAAAATCTTAAAATTCATTATCTATGCTAATTTATGCAAATTTATTCGAAATCACAAAAAAGGCTTCTTCTCCTTCATTTCTCAACCGATTTTGATTTGGTTTGCTTTATATCGTAGAGCTAACTTTGGTACACTAACCTTCTACACAGAATTTCGAAATTGTTCTCCATTAATTAATTGTTGTAATTTATGCAAATTTATTCCAAAAATAACAAAAATTGCTTCTTTTCCCTCATTTCTTGACCAATTTTGATTTGGTTTCCCCCATCTGGTAGAGCTAAATTTGGAACACTAAACTTCTACGCAGAATTGTGAGATTTTGCTCCATTGATTATTTTTGGTACTTTATGCAAATGAAATGAAATTATGTCCCTTTCAGGACATCAGATTTTTATTTTTTGACCAGTTCAAAAGTGTACCATATAAAATTTACGATATTTGTTGTTGCGAGATCTGGATGAGCGCTACGTCATTGATGTTCTGGTTTATCATATTGAATTGCGTTATGCAGGCGAGACCGCCGAGAGCGTTTCCCTTGTTTATTATTCAAACACTTTGTATGGTTCTTTTATTTGTGAGAGTTAAGAAATATAAGATTGTACCAATGTACCACATGTATACTGTATATATATCTATCTATCTATCTATTTATCTATCTATATCTATCTATCTATCTATCCTAGTTTAAGAATGTGTCAAGTTCTTATCATATTGATAATTCCAAAACCTTGTTGTACACTTAACTTTTATTTATTATGTTATATATATGTAATCAATCTTTCATTGATGATTCAAGACAGTCTCGCTTTAACAGAGTAAGCATATTTAGAACTCAACTACCGTAAATCTCTGTGTATAAGACGCACCTGTGTATAAGACGCACCCCTATTTTTAAGACAAAAAAAAAAAGAAAAAGTGGCTTTTTTAGCAGACACCTTAGTATGTTTGAAAAGCCAAGCGACTTTCATTTTGCTACGAGGTGAAGTTGAAGGCGCTGATTTGTGATTGTGAAATTGGCACAAATAATATTAAGAATGTCATTTTTTAAATACCGTAAATCTCCGTGTAATAGGCGCACCTGTGTATAAGGCGCACCCCTATGTTGTTGTTTTTTTGTTTGTTTTGTTTCGTTGCCGAAAACCCATGCGGGGAAGGACTTTCATTTAACATCGAGGTACAGTTGAAGGCGCCAATTTGTGTTTGTGAACTTGTCACAAATTATAGTAACAATGTCGTTTTTTAGAAGAATGTGTAAGATCATTAATGTAAATTAAAAACAGTAGATTACCTAGGATAGAACCTGGTGGTACTCCATGTAAAAGAAGAAAAATTTGAGGAATTATTATTGTAAACTACATATTTTGATCTATTAGGATTACTTTCAAACCAAGATGACAGCCAAATTTGAGTGTTGTTGTAGTTTCCGAGTGGTCAACACACAGATTACTGAGCTGGGAGACATTGCCAGGCATATGGTGCCAGGTGGAGGGGCATAAATCGAAACTTTAAAAAAAAAAAATTTGGCGGCAAAAAAGTGCGGTTAATACAACGTTAATTACGGTAGGCTATATAGTTCTAGTTTCTGAATGGTCAGTCGACATCCAGTGTGTGAGTGAGCTGGGACCATGTTGGCGCTCTTCCGGGCACGGGTGGGTGTCGCCTGGCACAGAGCTACAGACAGTGCTTGAGAGTGAGCATTTATGCTGCAAAAACTAGTGGAGTTTCAATTGCGTTTCAAAAACCCAAACTCCAGAGGTAGGAGTTTTTTTAACTCTGGTTTTAATTGTGGTTTTGGATAGTTGCCTAGCAACTTCCAACACAACTCAGGAATGTGAACAAAATGATGGTTTCTGCTTGCAGTGTAAATGTATCTTACAAAAATCAAACCTGATTTATCTAGGGAGTCTAGGCAATATAATAGGATGAGGGAATTGCCCTGAAGTTTAGTTGATTTCATGAAGGTCTATACGAACATATATTCTTAACCCTTTATATGAAGGGAAAGATAAAGGGAATGGATGTAAATGTAAAATAAAGATTTATAAATTCATAATGTTTTTAGTTAATGGATGTTGAATCTGTATTGAAATTCATGCACAAAGAAAAATCAATAAAACATTGACTTAAAAAGATAAATCGTCACCTCTTGTTTTGTATTACCTTGTTCTGTATATTTGGTTAACCTTGGGTGCTTGATGTTTGAACAAGAAAAAAGGGGGTAACCCAGAAAATTAAAATAACCACCGATTGAATATTATAGAAGGAATTATGAGATAACAATCAGTCGTGTACAGGATGATTTTCTCAATTTCACAGAATTATCTTTTTATGTTTATCCAGATTGAAAAGGACAAATACTTTAGCTGAAAGTAAAATGGACATTTACACATAGAGTAAAAAGGGATTGCATCACATTTGGCGGTCTTCCATTTCTTTTATCTCAGGGACGTTTCCTCTGGGGAGGTGTTCTGCCATTAATCCCCAGTAATCTCCTTCTTTTTGGGACATGCCTCCCGGTCCTTTCTGTGCTGGTCTAGCAAATTATAGGTAGATACATTGATTTATTGTGGTAAATCAGAAAAATCAGAACTGGTTTTATTATTTACTATATAAATCTATCTACCTATCCCTCTGTCCCCTCTCCTTGCCCAGCAATATGTCCAAAGTGTTGTCTCTGGCGGCTCGTGAAAGAGGATAATGGCAGGCTTGCGAAGCGCACATGAACCCTGGGAAGGCGATGTATTGGGGGTGGGGCATGCACGAATGTGACGTTTTAAGTTCTTGATGGTGGCGTAGTTTAGAAAAACTACTGTAGCAAATAATAGATAGATACATTGATTTAAATAGTAAATAATAACATCAGTTCTGATTTTTCTGATTTACATAGTAAATAATAAAATTAGTTTTAATTTTTGTAGAATGCCCTGCCAAAATATAGTATGCCAACAAACTTTTTATTGTATCCCCCGGCAGTACGCTGGTGAGGTACTTTGGATTGAGCAGCGTTACGCCATGTTCGCCCCCGCCACCGCCAGTCATATTTTGGTGGCTGTCTTTTGTGTGCTCTAACTGCCACATTTCTTGACACATTTCTTTCATATTTTCTACAGAAATGCATTATACTCTAATCTACACACATATTGTTTTGGTGATGCTACTCCTAGTCTTGACAATAGTCTGAGCCACTAGTGATCATCTCTACGTCATCTTTTTGTTTCAGAGAGGGGACTTGTCCTTCCTTCCAACATAAGGATGACACAAAATGGTTGCCACTGCCGGGGGATACAGATTGCGATATTTCTAGTTTTAATCCCGTCCGTTAGTATTTTTTATGCTTCTTCTTGCTAATGCCCATCACACATTCAAATATCTTATATTTAGTATGTTTAACAATAATTTCATACATTTTTCGTAATAATCTACTCTTGAAAGTGCTTGAAAATCATGATAAATCACTGTGTTTACTACCAGCAAATAAAGTACACACACACAACCAATGGATGTAATATGTCTGAAAGTGTCTTTTTATCCTTTAATGAATCCTTCAGGCACTTTAAAAGGTCTCATTGAAAGCTAATTATCTTGAGATGAAACATGAGATTTTGAATCATGGATTGAAGGCCAATTAGCATTCATGCCCTCTAGTATCAAACAGGAAATGACTATATTCTATAACTATTGAGTTTTTAAGTCACAAAATGAGGAATCAAAGCATCGTGCATGATGTTGGGTAATATTTCTTTTTACAGCAGCAGTCAGATCAAGCTTTTTTTCCCGCTTCAATTAACTTAGAATTGCTTCCGAACAAGAGAATGGTAGGAAAAGGAAAGGACATCTTTGTCGGGGCATGATCAGCAGTATACATCCAAACATAAGACATTTAGATCATTCAATGATCTGCTTCTGCATTTGCATGCAGTTTGTAGAACATTCTCCCTCAGCTACTCTGCTCTTGCTATACATTGTTTGTTCTCTACCTTGAAGACTTTAAGTTCGCATACAACCAGGCACTCTTCATATCTTCCAGTAAGGAATCATGGACTGCTCTTGTCATCAGTGTCTTTTGTCAGGCTTTTAGATGCTGTCGCTCTACAAGTTCCCAGATTTGCTTGGATTGGACATTCTACTTCAATCTGCTTTCGTTCCTGTCGTTTAAACCAGCAAGATGAATCTTCATATCTTCTTGTATGTGCTTGCCTTCATTGGGAGAACAGTCCAAGGAAAATGTTCTGTTGGTTGTGACTGTGAGAGGGTAAACGATTTGGTCAATGTGGACTGCGCTTGGTGTGGTCTTAACAATGTTCCAGAGGACATTCCATGCGATGCTGGTGAAGTTAACCTGCATACTAACTATATCACTAGACTAAATAAAAAGTCATTCTCCTGCCAAGCCCAGTTGAGTAAACTTTTCCTATCACAAAATAAATTGAAATACATTGAGAAAAATGTTTTTGAACGCTTGATGAAACTAACATACATCGAATTTGAATCAAATGAACTTGTGAGCATTCCATATCTTGGCTCATTACCTCACCTTATTGATGTATCTATCTTTAAAAATTTCTTTGTAGAGTGGCCACAGTTGTTTCTTTCTAGTATGCCAGAAAGACAGCCTTTCAAGATGAGTTTGGCATACAACAAACTATCTGATGCACCAAAAGTTCCCTTCAAAATATGGAACCTTAATCTTGAAGGAAACACTGTTACTGATCTGTCCAATGCAGTGTTTACACATCCTGAAGTGATTTTAGAGCTGAATATTGATAAAAATAATGTAGAGTACCTGGATAAGTTGCAGAAGATGGACAATCTTACGATACTTTCCCTGGAATCCAATGGAATTCGAAGCATTGCTGACACAACATTTGCCTACCTTCCTTCACTTAAAAGAATTAACCTGGCAAGAAATAAAATTGTTGATGTCTCACCCTTCAGAAACATGTCATACATTACAGATATAATACTGGCAAAAAACAGTATAAGACATATCCGTCACCCTGCTTTTACTAACATTCCAAACATAGCTGTCATCTATCTTAACGATAATGAAATTGTTTGTTATATGCCTCACTCGGACTTCAGTGTACCATCGAGCCTTCTTCTTGGCCGCAACAAAATATCAGTTATGGACATGAATCCTGCAGGGAACTATTCAAACGTAGTAATTCTATATATCGACAACAACCATCTTGGTAACTTTTCCATTCATCCGTTCCCTGGTTTATCTAGTCTTTATGCTTCAAACAATTTCATTAAAGATGTGATATCTCTCAAGTATGAACATCGTTTTCTAAGATACATCAACTTGTGCTATAACCAAATCGGGAATGTGAAAAACTTTGAAAACCTACCTGCCCTAAAGTGGCTGTTTCTCTGTCATAACTCCATCAAAACCTTGGATGATAACAGTCTCATCGACTCGTTTAGTCTTCTTACCCTTGACCTAAGCTACAATAAGTTGTCAGAACTCCTAAACTTCACAGCTTTGCCTGCTCTGAGACGTCTTGATTTATCAGGCAACATCCTTCATGTGATAGGAAATGCAACCTTTGACCACCTACCAAGGCTTGTTACTCTCAACCTTAGCCAAAATCAAATCTCAAAACTTGGTTTTTTCAGTTCGATGCCATCACTTGAAACTCTATCTTTAAGTCACAACCAGCTGAGGACCATCCACCCCCATGACTTCTCTAATCTAAATAATCTTAGAGTTTTGCAGTTAGCTTCCAATTTTATTGTAGAGTTTGAAAACATCAACTTGCCTTCTCTTCAAAGACTTGACATCGGTTTTAATTTCTTAACTCGTATGAATTTTAATCATGTATTGGATCACAGAATTCTATATATCAATGTTGAGAGTAACAGAATAGCTGAGGTTATATCCACTCATGCTCCACTTGTAAGTATCATTGTAAACAACAATGGGATTGGATCATTAAATTCAAGTTTGTTATCTGGGTATAATGTTTTTGCATCCAGCAATAACCTGACCGATTTCAACCAGGTTTGTATTACACCTGGTTTGATTGGACTTTTATGGTGGCCCTGAAGGGACATCGCGAATAGACTAAATCGTGAAAAATATGCGATAAAATTCACGATATCGTCAATTTTATCGCATATTTTTCACGAAGAAATTCACGAAATTGACGATATCGTGAAATTTATCGTGAACTTTTCACGATGAAATTGACGATATCGTGAATTTTATCGTGAAAAGTTCACGATATAAAGTTCACGATATCGTCAATTTTATCGTGTACTCTATCGTGTACTCTATCGTGTACTCTATCGTGTACTCTCCTGACGGGCGCTTCGTAAACAAAACCAGCCCTAGCTGGGGGAGACAGAGAGAAGGACAAAAGGGAAAGGGAAAGAGAAGATAAAAGGAAAGAAAGAATAATAAGAAGAAAAGAGGGAAACGGGGGGGGGGGGGGGCGAAGGGCTCTTGCCTCCTCCTCATTCCCCCCCCCCCCCCTCCCCGCCAAAAAATAAATCAGAGAGAGAGAGAAGGGAAAGGGAAAGGGAAAGAGAAGATAAAAGGAAAGAAAGAAGAGGAAGAAGAAGAAAAGAGGAAAACGGGGGAAGGGCAAAGGACTCTTGCCCCCCCTCCCCCCCCCCCCCCCCCGCCAAAAAATAAATCAGAGAGAGAGAGAGAAGGGAAAGGGAAAGGGAAAGAGAAGATAAAAGGAAAGAAAGAAAGAGGAAGAAGAAGAAAAGAGGGAAACGGGGGCAAAGGGCTTTTGCCTCGTCCCCCCGCCCCCCGCCAAAAAATAAATAAGAGAGAGAGAGAGAAGGAAAGGGAAAGAGAAGAAAGAAAGAGAAAAACGAAAAAGAGGGAGAATAGGAAAGAAAGGAAAAGAAAGAAAAGAAAGGAGGCAAGAGCCCTTCGCCCCTGTTTCCCTCTTTTCTTATTCTTTTTCCTCTTCTTTCTTTCCTTTTATATTTTCTTTCCCTCTCCCTTCTCTTTCCCTTTATGGCGGGAGGGGGGAGGGGGAGGTAAGAGCCTTTCGCCCTTTCCCCGTTTCCCTCTTTCCGTCTTCTTCTTTCTTTCCTTTTATATTTTCTTTCCCTTTCCCTTTCCCTTCTCTCTATCTCTCTCTCCTATTTATTTGTTGGCGCGGGAGGGGGGGGGAGGAGGCAAGAGCCCCTCTTTTCTTCTTATTCTTCTTCCTTTCCTTTTTTATTCTCTTTCCCTTTCCCTTCTCTCTCTCTCTCTCTTATTTATTTTTTGGGCGGGGGGATGCAAGAGCCCTTCGCCCCCGTTTCCCTCTTTTCTTCTTCTTCTTCCTCTTCTTTCTTTCCTTTTATCTTCTCTTTCCCTTTCCCTTTCCCTTCTCTCTCTATCTCTTATTTATTTTTTTGGCGGGGGGTGGGGAGGGAGGAGCTAGGCAAGAGCCCTTCGCCCTTCCCCGTTTCCCTCTTTCCTTCTTATTCCTCTTCTTTTCTTTCCTTTTATATTTTCTTTCCCTTTCCCTTCTCTCTCTTATTTATTTTTGGCGGGGGGGGGGGGGGAGGAGGCAAGAGCCCTTCGCCCTTTCCCTGCCCTGTTTCCCTCTTATTCCTCTTCTTTCTTTCCCTTTCCCTTCTCTCTCTCTCTCTCTCTCTCTTATTTATTTTTTTGGCGGGGGGGGGGGGGGGGGGGAGGTAAGAGCCTTTCGCCCTTCCCCCGTTTCCCTCTTTCCTTCTTCCTCTTCTTTCTTTCCTTTTATATTTTCTTTCCCTTTCCCTTTTTTCCTTCTCTCTGTCTCCCCCAGCTAGGGCAGGTTTTGTTTACGAAGCGCCCGTCAGGAGAGTACACGATAGAGTACACGATAGAGTACACGATAGAGTACACGATAAAATTGACGATATCGTGAACTTTATATCGTGAACTTTTCACGATAAAATTCACGATATCGTCAATTTCATCGTGAAAAGTTCACGATAAAGTTCACGATATCGTCAATTTCGTGAATTTCTTCGTAAAAAATATGCGATAAAATTGACGATATCGTGAATTTTATCGCATATTTTTCACGATTTAGTCTATTCGCGATGTCCCTTCAGGGCCACCATAGACTTTACCTCAATAAAAACCACCTCTCATGCATACCTGATTTCACTTTCTCCCTAGCATCCTCTCTCAAATTTCTTGAATTGGCTGACAATCTGATAGTCAATGTAACAAATTTATCCTTTGTTGGCCTTCAGCTCGTTAGAACTCTGAATCTGGAAAGAAATCAAATAGTCCACCTATCTTCTGGGGTGTTTTCATATATTGGGGATCTAAGAGTTCTTGAACTGAGTGGAAATCCTTTGACATATAAGTCAAGTCGGCCATTTATGGGAATACAGGGTCTTGAATATCTTGAACTTGCTAATATGCCATTTTCAAATGTGTCCCTTCATGTGTTGGAGGACATTCAACTTGTATATTCACTAAACATTGACAAAAACATGGCTTTTGGACAATTTTTCATCAACAAAGCAAGTGTCTTACCTTTCACAAATTTCCCAAACCTACGGCGTATTTCCCTGTCGTCCAATGAACTTAGAAACCAGTGTCCATTATTACATATTAAATATTTACAAGTGATGGATTTATCCAATAATCTGTTTAGTTCTATTCCTACATATTGCTTGCCAAACAATGCCGACTCTCTGAACTTGTCTCGCAATAGAATCAGGAGTGTCAATAAAGATTCTTTTGGAGAACTTCAACATCTCTGGGTACTGGATCTGAGTTACAACAGAATTGTGTCTTTCAAATTCCGTGCCCTGGAACATCAGAAGAACTTGGCAACTTTACATCTTGCAGGCAATCTACTGACAACACTTGATATTAGTTTCTTGTCCTTCTCTTTGAAGTCAATAGTAATAAATTTACAAGATAATCCTTGGTTATGTGATTGTGACCTGATCATGGCTGTCTGTATGCTGGAGTCCTGGATGGATGATCCTGTTGTTTGCAGTCAACCTGCTGGTTATTCCAATTCTAGTTTAGCTGAACTGGCCATGTCCAACAACTTCACATGTCTGCCTCAACTGTGTTCTCAGCCACTGCAGACACTGTTGACATTCATCGGTGATCAGTCCGTCGAGATACCTTGCCCAATCATCACCTCAAATCTGTCGGTCATCATTCACTGGTCATTTACCTCTCATAGGCAACAACTGCCCTCTATTGGTAGTGAACTACCAGACAGTGTTTCTGTCCTTCCTCACAATGCCCTCTTTATTGAACATGTCAGCCTGAACCTGACAGGGACCTATACCTGTTGGAGTGAGAATGGGGCTGGGCGGACAAAATTCATGGTGAACTTGCTTGTAGAGGAACAATCAGGGACGGTTCAGAAACTTATGGAGGATAATACGTCTACAGTGTTGGCCAAGAATTGGAAGGAAACGCTCTCCTGTGGTAACTCTGGATGCCGTAATAATGACAGATCAATCACAACAAGGATATCGTCTTTATTAGTAGCCCTCTGGCAGCTGAGGGAATGGAAGAAAAATATTTTAATTTGAAAACAAATGGGATAAGTGTAATTTCTGGGAGGCATAGAAAAAAGCCCTTTGTTTATGTGTCTGGGAGGCAAATGAATCAATGTAGAAAAAAGCCCTTTTTATTCAAGAGAGCATTTTTTAAAGTGAAATGTTGATTTTTTTCCCCCTATACAATTGTGCTATAATGAACACTTAGCAAAATCAAAAATACAAATGTCTTTTTCTAAGAATTAATTTTAATCTTTGTTTTTATTGATTGTTTTTGTCTCGCCTGCGTAGCAAAAAGCGAGACATAGGCGCCGCTTTTCCGGTGACCGCGACGGCAGCGTCAACATCAAAAACTTAACCTAAGGTTAAGTTTTTGAATTTTTGATATAATTTTTAAAGTATAAGTTCTTAGTCAATGAAACTTTGACTATAGGGTAATCAAGTATCCCCAATCATGTGAGTAGAATTTCAGATCACAAAGTCAAGGTCAAAGGTCATTTCAGGTCAACAGACTTGGACTATGTTGTAGCATCATCATCGAAAACTTAACCTAAGGTTAAGTTTTTGAATTTTTGATATAATTTTGAAAGTATAAGTTCTTAGTCAATAAAACTTGGACCATAGCATTATCAAGTCTCCCCAATCATGGAAGTAAAATTTCAGGTCACTAAGTTAAGGTCAAAGGTCATTGAAGGTCAACAAACTTAGACTTTGTTGTGGCATCAACATCAAGATTTTCAAAATGCTTCTTCTTCGTTATTTTTCAACCGATTTTGATTCTGATTCTGATTCTGATTGTTTCATATGATAGGACTAGGAGGGGGATTTAAAATTTCTACACAGAATCTTGAAATTCATTATCTATGCTAATTTATGCAAATTTATTCGAAATCACAAAAAAGGCTTCTTCTCCTTCATTTCTCGACCGATTTTGATTTGGTTTGCTTTATATCGTAGAGCTGACTTTGGTACACTATACTTCTACACAGAATTTTGAAATTGTTCTCCATTAATTAATTATGGTAATTTATGCAAATTTATTCCAAAAATAACAAAAATTGCTTCTTTTCCCTCATTTCTTGACCGATTTTGATTTGGTTTCCCCCATCTGGTAGAGCTAAATTTGGAACACTAAACTTCTACACAGAATTGTGAGATTTTGCTCCATTGATTATTTATGGTACTTTATGCAAATGAAATGAAATTATGTCCCTTCCAGGACATCAGATTTTTATTTTTTGACCAGTTCAAAAGTGTACCATATAAAATTTACGATATTTGTTGTTGCGAGATCTGGATGAGCGCTACGTCATTGATGTTCTGGTTTATCATATTGAATTGCGTTATGCAGGCGAGACCGCCGAGAGCGTTTCCCTTGTTTATTATTCAAACACTTTGTATGGTTCTTTTATTTGTGAGAGTTAAGAAATATAAGAATATTGTACCAATGTACCACATGTATATTGTATATATCTATCTATCTATCTATTTATCTATCTATATCTATCTATCTATCTATCCTAGTTTAAGAATGTGTCAAGTTCTTATCATATTGATAATTCCAAAACCTTGTTGTACACTTAACTTTTATTTATTATGTTATATATATGTAATCAATCTTTCATTGATGATTCAAGACAGTCTCTCTTTAACAGAGTAAGCATATTTAGAACTCAACTACCGTAAATCTCTGTGTATAAGACGCACCTGTGTATAAGATGCACCCCTATTTTTAAGACAAAAAAAAAGAAAAAGTGGCTTTTTTAGCAGACACCTTAGTATGTTTGAAAAGCCAAGCGACTTTCATTTTGCTACGAGGTGAAGTTGAAGGCGCTGATTTGTGATTGTGAAATTGGCACAAATAATATTAAGAATGTCATTTTTTTAATTACCTTAAATCTCCGTGTATAAGGCGCACCTGTGTATAAGGCGCACCCCTATGTTGTTTTGTTTTTTTTGTTTTGTTTTGTTGCCGAAAACCCACGCGGGGAAGGACTTAACATCGAGGTACAGTTGAAGGCGCCAATTTGTGTTTGTGAACTTGTCACAAATTATAGTAACAATGTCGTTTTTAGAAGAATGTGTAAGATCATTAATGTAAATTAAAAACAGTAGATTATAGGATAGAACCTGGTGGTACTCCATGTAATAGAAGAAAAATTTGAGGAATTATTATTGTAAACTACATATTTTGATCTATTAGGATTACTTTCAAACCAAGATGACAGACAAATTTGAGTGTTGTTGTAGTTTCCGAGTGGTCAACACACAGATTACTGAGCTGGGAGACATTGCCAGGCATATAGTGCCAGGTGGAGGGGCATAAATCAAAACTTAAAAAAAAAAAAAATTTGGCGGCAGAAAAGTGCGGTTAATACAACGTTAATTACGGTAGGCTATATAGTTCTAGTTTCTGAATGGTGAGTCGACATCCAGTGTGTGAGTGAGCTGGGACCATGTTGGCGCTCTTCCGGGCACGAGTGGGTGTCGCCTGGCACAGAGCTACAGACAGTGCTTGAGAGTGAGCATTTATGCAGCAAAAACTAGTGGAGTTTCAATTGCGTTTCAAAAACCCAAACTCCAGAGGTAGGAGTTTTTTTAACTCTGGCTTTTAGTTGTGGTTTTGGATAGTTGCCTAGCAACTTCCAACACAACTCAGGAATGTGAACAAAATGATGGTTTCTGCTTGCAGTGTAAATGTATCTTACAAAAATCAAACCTGATTTATCTAGGGAGTCTAGGCAATATAATAGGATGAGGGAATGAAGTTTAGTTGATTTCATGAAGGTCTATACGAACATCATTCTTAACCCTTTATATGAAGGGAAAGATAAAGGGAATGGATGTAAATGTAAAATAAAGATTCATGAATTCATAATGTTTTTAGTTCATGGATGTTGAATCTGTATTGAAATTCATGCACAAAGAAAAATCAATAAAACATTGACTTAAAAAGATAAATCCTCACCTCTTGTTTATATTACCTTGTTCTGTATATTTGGTTAACCTTGGTTGCTTGATGTTTGAACAAGAAAAAAGGGGGTAACCCAGAAAATTAAAATAACCACCGATTGAATATTATAGAAGGAATTATGAGATAACAATCAGTCATGTACAGGATGATTTTCTCAATTTCACAGAATTATCTTTTTATGTTTATCCAGATTGAAAAGGACAAATACTTTAGCTGAAAGTAAAATGGACATTTACACATATACTCTTTTCACACTGGTTTTGCTTAAACCCGTACTTTGCTTAGCCCCGTACTATCCTTAACCCCGGACTATTTTTTTGGCTTTTCACACTCGCTGTTTTTAGTCCCGTACTAGCGCCTATTCCGGAGTAAGAAAATTTCCGCTGTTCTCACTGCATTTCGTTAACCCCGGATATCGTGTATGTTATGATTGGACATACTTCGCATCTGGCCAGCTGCGATACGCTCCATTGCGTAGTACCGGACTATTTTTCGTTTCTGTTCTCATTCATTTGCTTAACATCGTAATTGCGGGGTTAGCAGGAGTTAGCACCACAATTGCGGAGTTAGCCCTGCTATTTTGCAGGGTTAGTTAACCCCATACTATAGGTGGGGTTAGCCAACTTTAGCCCACTTTGGTAAAAACCAGTCTGAACAGAAAGTGGAATAGGCTTAACCCCGTACTATAGGTGGGGCTAAGACCCCCCCTTAACCCCACCTATAGTACGGGGTTAAGCAAAATATTGCCAGTGTGAAAACAGTAATAGAGTAAAGGAATTGCATCACATTTGGCGGTCTTCCATTTCTTTTATCTCAGGGACGTTTCCTCTGGGGAGGTGTTCTGCCATTAATCCCCAGTAATCTCCTTCTTTTTGGGACATGCCTCCCGGTCCTTTCTGTGCTGGTCTAGCAAATAATAGGTAGATACATTGATTTATTGTGGTAAATCAGAAAAATCAGAACTGGTTTTATTATTTACTATATAAATCTATCTACCTATCCCTCTGTTCCCTCTCCTTGCCCAGCAACATGTCCAAAGCGTAGCAAATAATAGGTAGATACATTGATTTATATAGTAAATAATAAAATCAGTTCTGATTTTTCTGATTTACATAGTAAATAATAAAATTAGTTTTAATTTTTGTAGAATGCCCTGCCAAAATATAGTATGCCAACAAACTTTTTATTGTATCCCCCGGCAGTACGCTGGTGAGGTACTTTGGATTGAGCAGCGTTACGCCATGTTCGCCCCCGCCACCGCCGGTCATATTTTGGTGGCTGTCTTTTGTGTGCTCTAACTGCCACATTTCTTGACACATTTCTTTCATACTTTCTACAGAAATGCATTATACTCTAATCTACACACATATTGTTTTGGTGATGCTACTCCTAGTGATCATCTCCAAGTCATCTTTTTGTTTCAGAGAGGGGAGAGGGGATTTTTGTCCTTCCAACATAAGGATGACACAAAATGGTTGCCACTGCCGGGGGATACAGATTGCGATATTTCTAGTTTTAATCCCGTCTGTTAGTATTTTTTATGCTTCTTCTTGCTAATGCCCATCACACATTCAAATATCTTATTTTTAGTATGTTTAACAATATTTTCATACATTTTTCGTAATAATCTACTCTTGAAATTGCTTGAAAATCATGAAAAATCACTGTGATTACGACCAGAAAATAAAGTACACATACACAATCAATGGATGTAATATGTCTGAAAGTATCTTTTTATCCTTTAATGAATCCTTCAGGCACTTACAAAGGTCTCATTGAAAGCTAATTATCTTGAGATGAAACATGAGATTTTGAATCATGGATTGAAGGCAAATTAGCATTTATGCCCTCTAGTATTTCCACTTCATTATGTATCAAACAGGAAATTACTATATTCTATAACTATTGAGTCGTTACGTCAGGAAAATTTTCAAATTCATCAAGTACTGATGACCTCATCCATGGGTCATTTTTTTTCTTTTTTCTTTTTTTGGACATTCCAGTTATTGTCCGTGCTCTGAAACTTGGTATCTTGTTATAATCTACAAGCATATAGATTTTCGTTATGCTGCCTCCAGTGTTCCAGAAAATATAGTACACACACAAAATCAATGGATATGTTTGAAAGTATCTTATTATCCTTTAATGAATCCCTCAGGTACTAATACAAAGATCTGATTGAAAGCTAATTATCTTGAGATGCCATTTTGAAACATGGATTGAAGGCCAATTAGCATTCATGCCCTCTAGTATTTCCATTTCATTATGTATCAAACAGGAAATTACTAAATTCTATAACTATTGAGTTTTTACGTCACAAAATTAGGAATCAAAGCACCGTGCATGATGTTGGGTAATATTTCTTTTTACAGCAGCAGTCAGATCAAGCTTTTGTCCCGCTTCAATTCACTTAGAATTGCTTCCGAACAAGACAATGGTAGGAAGAGGAAAGGAAATCTTTGTCTGGGCATGATCAGCAGTATACGTCCAAACATAAGATATTTAGATCATTCAATGATCTGCTTCTGCATTTGCATGCAGTTTGTAGAACATTCTCCCTCAGCTACTCTGCTCTTGCTATACATTGTTTGTTCTCTACCTTGAAGACTTTAAGTTTGCATACAACCAGCCACTCTTCAAATCTTGAAGGAAGGAATCATGGACTGCTCTTGTCATAGGTGTCTTTTGTCAGGCTTTTAAATGCTTGCACTCTAAAAGTTCCCAGATTGGCTTCTATGGATTGGACATTCTACTTCAATCTGCTTTCGCTCCTGTCCATTAAACCGGCAAGATGAATCTTCATATCTTCTTGTTTGTGCTTGCCTTCATTGGGAGAACAGTCCAAGGAAAATGTCCTGTTGGTTGTGACTGTGACACGGTAAACGGTTTGGTCAATGTGGACTGCGCTTGGTGTGGTCTTAACAATGTTCCAGAGGACATTCCATGCGATGCTGGTGAAGTTATCCTGCATACTAACTATATCACTAGACTCAATAAAAAGTCATTCTCCTGCCATATCCAAATGAATAAACTTTTCCTATCACAAAATAAATTGAAATATATTGAGAAAAATGTTTTTGAACGATTGGTGGAACTAACATACATCGAACTTGATTCAAATGAACTTGTGAGCATTCCATATCTTGGCTCATTACCTCACCTTTTCGATGTATCTATCTCTAAAAATTCTTTGTTAGAGTGGCCACAGTTGTTTCTTTCTAGTATGCCAGGAAGACGACCTTTCAAGATGAGTTTGGCATACAACAAACTACCTGATGCACCAAAGGTTCCCTTCAAAATATGGAACTTTAATCTTGAAGGAAACGCTGTTACTGATCTGTCCAATGCAGTGTTTACATATCCTAAAGTGATTTTAGAGCTGAATATTGATAAAAATAACGTAGAGTACCTGGAGAAGTTGCAGAAGATGGACAATCTTATGATACTTTCCCTGGAATCCAATGGAATTCGAAGCATTGCTGACACCATATTTGCCTACCTTCCTTCACTTGAAAGAATTAACCTGGCAAGAAATAAAATTGTTGATGTCTCACCCTTCAGAAACATGTCATATATTACAGAGATTATATTGACAGAAAACAATATAAGACATATCCGTCACCCAGCTTTTACTAACATTCCAAATATAGCTTTCATCGATCTAAAGGATAATGAAATTGTTTGTTATATACCTCACTCTGACTTCAGTGTACCATCGAGCCTTCTTCTTGGCAGCAACAAAATTTCAGTTATAAACATGAATCCTGCAGGGAACTATTCAAATGTAGTAATTCTAAATATCAACAACAACCATCTTGGTAACTTTTCTATTCATCCGTTCCCTGGTTTATCTAGTCTTTATGCTTCAAACAATTTCATTAAAGATGTGATATCTCTCAAGTATGAACATCGTTTTCTAACATACATCAACTTGTGCTATAACCAAATCGGGAATGTGAAAAACTTTGAAAACCTACCTGCCCTAAAGTGGCTGGTTCTCTGTCATAACTCCATCAAAACCTTGGATGATAACAGCCTCATCGACTCGTTTAGTCTTCTTACCCTTGACCTAAGCTACAATAAGTTGTCAGAACTCCTAAACTTCACAGCTTTGCCTGCTCTGAGTTGTCTTGATTTATCAGGCAACATCCTTCATGTGATAGGAAATGCAACCTTTGACCACCTACCAAGGCTTGTTACTCTAAACCTTAGCCAAAATAAAATCTCAAAACTTGGTTTTCTCAGTTCAATGCCATCCCTTGAAACTCTAACTTTAAGTCACAACCAGCTAAGGACCATCCACCCCCATGACTTCTCTAATCTAAACAATCTTAGATTTTTGCAGTTAGCTTCCAATTTTATTGTAGAGTTTGAAAACATCAACTTGCCTTCTCTTCAAAGACTTGACATCGGTTTTAATTTCTTAACTCATATGAATTTTAATCATTTATTGGATCACAGAATTCTATATATCAATGTTGAGAGTAACAGAATAGCTGAGGTTATATCCACTCATGCTCCACTTGTAAGTATCATTGTAAACAACAATGGGATTGGATCATTAAATTCAAGTTTGTTATCTGGGTATAATGTTTTTGCATCCAGCAATAACCTGACCAATTTCAACCAGGTTCGTATTACACCAGGTTTGATTGGACTTTACCTCAATAAAAACCACCTCTCATGCATACCTGATTACACTTTCTCCCTAGCATCCTCTCTGGAATTTCTTGAATTGGCTGACAATCTAATAGTCAAAGTAACAAATTTATCCTTTGTTGGCCTTCAGCTCGTTAGAACTCTGAATCTGGAAAGAAATCAAATAGTCCACCTATCTTCTGGGGTGTTTTCATATATTGGGGATCTGAAAACTCTTGAACTGAGTGGAAATCCTTTGACATATAAGTCAAGTCGGCCATTTATGGGAATACAGGGTCTTGAATATCTTAAACTTGCTAATATGCCATTTTCAAATGTGTCCCTTCATGTGTTGGAAGACATTCAACTTGTATATTTACTAAACATTGACAAAAAACATGGCTTTAAGACAATTTTTCATCAACAAAGCAAGTGTCTTTTCTTTCACGATTTTCCCAAACCTACGGCATATTTCCCTGTCGTCCAATGAACTCAGAAACCATGAGTGTCCATTATTACATATTAAATATTTACAAGGGATGGATTTATCCAATAATCTGTTTAGTTCTATTCCTAAATACTGCTTGCCAAACTATGCAGACTCTCTGAACTTGTCTCGCAATAGAATCAGGAGTGTCAATAAAGATTCTTTTGGAGAACTTAAACAGCTCTGGGTACTGGATTTGAGTTACAACCAAATTGTGTCTTTCGAATTCAGTGCCCTGGAACATCAGAAGAACTTGGTAATTCTACATCTTGCAGGCAATCTACTGACAACACTTGATATTAGTTTTTTGTCCTTTTCTTTGAAGTCAATAGTAATAGATTTACAAGATAATCCTTGGTTATGTGATTGTGACCTGATCATGGCTGTCCGTATGCTGGAGTCCTGGATAGATGATCCTGTTGTTTGCAGTCAACCTGCTGGTTATTCCAACTCTAGTTTAGTTGAACTGACCACGTCCAATAACTTCACATGTCTACCTCAACTGTGTTCTCAGCCACTGCAGACACTGTTGACATTCATTGGTGATCAGTCCGTCGAGATACCTTGCCCAATCATCACCTCAAATCTGTCGGATATCATTCACTGGTCATTTACCTCTCATAGGCAACAACTGCCCTCTATTGGTAGAGAACTGCCAGACAGTGTTTCTGTCCTTCCTCACAATGCCCTCTTTATTGAACATGTCAGCCTGAACCTGACAGGGACCTATACCTGTTGGAGTGAGAATGGGGCTGGGCGGACAAAATTCATGGTGAACTTGCTTGTAGAGGAACGATCAGGGACGGTTCAGAAACTTATGGAGGACAATGCATTGACAGTGTTGGCCAAGAATTGGAAGGAAACGCTCTCCTGTGGTAACTCTGGAAGCCGTAATATTGATAGATCAATTACAAGAATGATATCGTCTTTATTAGTAGCCCTCTGGCAGCTGAGGGAATGGAAGAAAAATATTTTAATTTGAAAACAAATGGGATGAGGGTAATTTCTGTTGCCTAATACATGTTCATGTGTCTGGGAGGCGAATGAATCAATGTATAAAAAAAAATTGAAAAGGAAATGTTGATTATTTTCCCCCTATACAATTGTGCTATAATGAACACTTAGCGAAATCAAAAATACAAATGTCTTTTTCTGAGAATGTATTTTAATCTTTGTTTTTATTGATTGTTTGTTATTATTCAAACCATTTGTATGGTTCTTATTTTTGTGAGAGTTAAGAAATATTAGATTGTACCAATGTACGACATGTATACTGTATATATCTATCTATCTATCTATTTATCTATCTATATCTATCTATCTATCTATCCTAGTTTAAGAATGAGTCAAGTTCTTATCATATTGATAATTCCAAAACCTTGCTGGACACTTAATTTTTATTTATTATGTTATGTAGATGTAATCAATCTTTCATTGTTGATTCAAGACAGTCTCTCTTTAACAGAGTAAGCATATTTAGAACTCAACTAATCAGGGTACTATTGGATAATTCGTTTTTCTGATTCTGTCACGACACAGAAAAGTCCAAAATTCCTTTGTCATTTCTTAATTAAAAACAAAAAATTAAAATCACGAAGCAAAAAACGTGTGGCGGTTTCGTTTCTGGTGTTAAAAAAAACAAATCAGAAATCAGAGAACACAGAATAGAAAAAAACTCTTTCTGATTTATAATTTGTGTTTTTTACCACCAGAAACAAAATCACAGATTGCAAACGCGGTCTCGGCTCTCTGATTTCTAATTTCGTTTTCATTTCACGAATATTAAAGAGCGCCCTCTACGTTGTAAGAAACGGCGCGTACGTACGTACACGTATTTTCTCGCGAAGAAGGTATACTTTTACATGCACATACGTACAGTACGTAGATATGATAGATATTTTTTAGTCGGCTTTCATCGAAAGGGTGGGGTGCGGTGCGGCGCGGTGTGGTGTGCTCAACGCACCCATTCGATAAAAGAGGGGGGGGGGGCTTTTCTCGAAAGGGTGCGTTGAGAGCGGAGTACCGTTTTAACACACCATTTCGAAAAAAGCGGGGGGGGGGGGCTTTTCTCGAAAGGGTGCGTCGACTAGTCTTTCGCATCAGTCGTTTAAAATGAGGATCTCGGACAGAAGGTAATAGTTGCCAATTTAAGTATATCGAAAATGTATTAAATAAAATGGAATGGTCTTGATTACAGAGTGGTCTGTTTCGTTATTACTATGTTGAGTGGGGAGACAGAGAGAAGGAAAACAAGGGAAAGGGAAAGGGAAGATAAAAGGAAAGAAAGAAGAATAAGAAGAAAAGAGGGAAACTGGGGGGGGGGGAGGGGGCGAAGGGCTCTTGCCTCCTCCTCAACCCCCCCCCCCCCCCCCCCGCCAAAAAATAAATAAGAGAGAGAGAGAGAAGGGAAAGGGAAAGGGAAAGAAAATATAAAAGGAAAGAAAGAAGAGGAAGAAGGAAAGAGGGAAACGGGGGAAGGGCGAAAGGCTCTTACCTCCCCCCCCCCCCCCCGCCAAAAAAATAAATAAGAGAGAGAGAGAGAGAGAGAAGGGAAAGGGAAAGAAAGAAGAATAATTAGAAGGAAAGAGGGAAACGGGGGAAGGGCAAAGGGCTCTTGCCTCCTCCCCCCCCCCCCCCCCGCCAAAAATAAATAAGAGAGAGAGAGAAAAGGGAAAGGGAAAGAAAATATAAAAGGAAAGAAAGAAGAGGAATAAGAAGAAAGAGGGAAACGGGGGAAGGGTGAAGGGCTCTTGCCTACTCCCTCCCCACCCCCCGCCAAAAAATAAATAAGAGATAGAGAGAGAAGGGAAAGGGAAAGGGAAAGAGAAGATAAAAGGAAAAAAAGAAGAATAATTAGAAGGAAAGAGGGAAACGGGTGAAGGGAAAAGGGCTCTTGCCTCCTCCCTCCCCCCCCCCCCCCGCCAAAAATAAATAAGAGAGAGAGAGAAAAGGGAAAGGGAAAGGAAATATAAAAGGAAAGAAAGAAGAGGAATAAGAAGGAAAGAGGGAAACGGGGGAAGGGCGAAGGGCTCTTGCCTCCTCCCTCCCCACCCCCCGCCAAAAAATAAATAAGAGATAGAGAGAGAAGGGAAAGGGAAAGGGAAAGAGAAGATAAAAGGAAAGAAAGAAGAGGAAGAAGGAGAAGAAAAGAGGTAAACGGGGGCGAAGGGCTCTTGCCTCTCCCCCGCCAAAAAATAAATAAGAGAGGGAGAGAGAATGGAGAGGGAAAGAAAATATAAAAGGAAAGAAAGAAGAGGAAGAAGAAGAAAAGAGGGAAACGGGGGCAAAGGGCTCTTGCCTCCTTTCTTTTCTTTCTTTCCTATTCTCCCTCTTTTTCGTTTTTCTCTTTCTTTCTTTTCTTTTCTTTCCTTTCTTTTCTTTTTTCTTTTTTTCTTTTCTTTTTCTTTTTTTCTTTTCTTTCCCTTTTCCTCTCTTTTTTCCCCTCCCCCTTTTCTCTTTTTCCCCGACGGCAGCGCAATTTTACCGACAATATCTTGACAGGTGGGGGGGGGGGTGTCGCACCCCCACACCCCCCTTTGGAGACGCCCCTGCCTACGCCACTGTTGGCGACCACAAGGCTATCAATACAAATTAAGACATATTAATGAAGATTCTTTTTTAATGTTGCAGAGAGATAAGTATTTTCTCTATGAACTTGTTTAATGGACAATAAATAATATTATAAACATGAAAACTATAGCGGTATAATTCATATTCAAGCGTTCTTTTTCACTACATATATTCGTTAGAATAATAATACGACAACAAAGTTGGAAGAGCCAGTTTATCCCTATGTTATCTCTTGTTTTGATAATTTGTATTTATGTATTATATTATTTTTGTTGTTTTATTTCATTTCTAACCTCAATTCAACTATTTTGACACAAAATCAAACACATTAACTTGAAACAAGACCAAATAACCAATGTTTTCTCTTTTTTTAAAAGAATAAATGGTATTTCCATATGTTTGGTACATAAATCACAAAAATGAGCGATTTTAGGGTTGACATGCAAAAACAAAGGTCACGTGACTCCGCAACTATACGTCCGATTTTCAACAAAAAAATGTTTCAAAAGATGCGTAAGACTCGAAAGAAAAAAGTCATGAAAGAAAAACTTTATATCTGCCGCGGTTCCGGAGTAGTCGCGAAATTACTAGAGAGCACTAATATTTTTGGGGGCCCTCGAAAATTTGAAAAATCTTACCCACCCCCCCCCCCCTTGAACGCCAGGGGGGGGGATATCTCCTAAAAACGGTAAAATTAACGTGTTTTTTCACAGGGCGGAGCCCTCAGAAGCTCAGGGGTATTAAACATCAAAATTAACGTCGGATGAGCAAATTTTATACCTTATTTGTGACAGTGGCAGGACACAATTTGGTGTTGGGTCCAGGGGGCGGAGCCCCCAGAAGCTCAGGAGTTTTGTACATTAAATTATTATTATTTTATACCTTATTTGTGACACTGGGGTCACGAATTGGCGTAGGGTCCAGGGGGAGCACCCGGAAGCTCAGGGGTTTTGGGCAATAAATAACGGTCAGTTGAGCATATTTTTATATCTATTTGTGACACTGGCAAGACACACATTGGTGTTGGATCCAAGGGGCAGAGCCCCAAGAAGGTGAGGGGTTTTATACATCAAATTATCGTCAGATGAGCATATTTATATATCTATTTGTGACACTGGTAGAACCAGGCGCGGATCCAGGGGGGGGGGCCGAGCGGGCCTTGGCCCCCCCCCCCCCCCGCAAAAAAAAAAAAAAAAAAAAAAGAGAAGAAAGGAAAAGAAGGGAAAGGGAAAGAGGAGAGAAAGGGAAAGAAAGAAGAAGAAGAAGAAAAGAAAAGGGGGGAGAAGGAGATCGGAGGGTGGGGGGGGGGGGGAAGGGCCTTGCCTCCAGTCCCAGGCTATTGACCCCCTCCCCCCCCCCCCCAATCAAAAAAATAAGAGAGAAGGAAGGAAAGGGAAATAAAAAAAGAAAAGAGGAGATACTGGCGTACTGATAGGGGAGGGGGGGGGGGAAGGGGGGCTTGGGGGAAATCAAATTCAAACGTGGTTTATTTCTAATTCCACAACGGTGGATTACAAATCAGGCTGAAATGACATAATTTCCGAGATTTTTCCTCACTTTTTAGTAAATTATTTGTTTGTATGTGTTTGTTGGAAAATGACAAATTCCTAAATTTACAGCCAGGCAAGAAATATGATTCTTGAGATTCCTAAATGTCAGGGCCCGAGGTACGGCGGGGATCGGGAGCCCCGAGCTCCCCCCCCCCCCCCCCCCCCCCCCCGCCACTTTTTTGAAAAAACCCCAAATCCCCCCAAATCGGAAGAGGACGTAGGAAGAAAAAGGAGCAGAAGGGGGAAAACTGAATTCAGACGAGGATTAAGAGTCGAGAACTGTACAACGAATCGTCTTCTTTCTCTCATAATCTTATGAAACGTCAAAGCTTCCGCACTTCGCGCGGGAGGGGGGGAACCTGAATTCAGACGTGGATTCAGAGGCGAGAACGGTAATACGAATCTTTAATGATTTAATGAAACGTAAAAGCTTCCGCGCTTCGCGCGGGATGGAGTGGGAACTAGATTCCGATAAGGATAATTTTCGAGAACGGTACAACGAATCGTCTTCTTTCTCTAATGATTTAATGAAAATTAAAAGCTTCCGCGCTTCGCGCGAGAGGGGGGAACCTGAATCCAGACAAGGATTAAGAGTCGAGAACTGTACAGCCAATCGTCTTCTTTCTCTCATAATCTTATGAAACTTAAAAGCTTCCGCGCTTTGCACGGGAGGGGGGGAACCTGAATTCAGACGAGGATTAAGAGTCGAAAACTGTACAACGAATCGTCTTCTTTCTCTCATAATCTTATGAAACTTAAAAACTTCCGCGCTTTGCACGGGAGGGGGGGGGGGAACCTGAATTCAGACGAGGATTAAGAGTCGAGAACATTACAACGAATCGTCTTCTTTCTCTCATAATCTTATGAAACGTCAAAGCTTCCGCGCTTCGCGCGGGAGGGGGGAACCTGAATTCAGACGAGGATTCAGAGGTGAGAACGGTATTAATCTTTAATGATTTAATGTAACGTAAAAGCTTCCGCGCTTCGCACGGGATGGAGGGGGAACTAAATTCCAAAGAGGATTATTTTCGAGAACGGTACAACGAATCGTCTTCTTTCTCTAATGATTTAATGAAAATTAAAAGCTTCCACGCTTCGCGCGTGAGGGGAACCTGAATCCAGACGAGGATTAAGAGTCGAGAACTGTACAGCCAATCGTCTTCTTTCTCTCATAATCTTATGAAACTTAAAAGCTTCCGCGCTTTGCGCGGGAGGGGGGGGGGGACCTGAATTCAGACGAGGTTTAAGAGTCGAGAACTGTACAACGAATCGTCTTCTTTCTTTAATAGTTTAATGAAACGTCAAAGCTTCCGCGCTTCGCGCAGTAGGGGGAGGGGGGAGACTGAATTTAGACAAGGATTAAGAGTCGAGAACGGTACAACGAATCGTCTTCTTTCTCTAATGATTTAATGAATCGTAAAAGCTTCCACGCTTCGCGCGGAAGGGGGAAAACTGAATTCAGACGAGGATTAAGAATCGTGAACTGTACAACGAATCGTCTTGTTTCTCTAATGATTAAATAAAACGTAAAAGCTTCCGCGCTTCGCGCGGGAGGAGGGGGTGGGGGGAATCTAAATTCAGACGAGGAATATTTTCGAAAACGGTACAACGAATCGTCTTCTTTCTCTAATGATTTAAGGAAATTTAAAAGCTTCCGCGCTTCGCGCAGGAGGGGGGGGGGGGGACCTAAATTCAGACGAGGTTTAAAAGTCGAGAAATCGACAACGAATCGTCTTCTTTCTCTAATAATTTAATGAAACGTCAAAGCTTCCGCGTTTCGCGGAGGAGGCGGGGGAAAATCGCCCCTCCCTGCACCGACCCCCCCCCCCCCCCCGCATTACGTCATTTGTTAATCACCATTACGTACCAATATTTGTCTGGCATAATTTCAAATTTGGGCCCCCCCCCCCTAAGAAATCCTGGATCCGCACCTGGGTAGAACACAAATTCTTCTTCCTCTTCCTCTTCTTTCTTTCCTTTTATCTTCTCTTTCCCTCTCCTTCTTCAACATAAGATGCAAGACGGATATAATTATATCGACTCACCTTCTTTCCAAGAACCATACGGGCCTGGAATTTACTTCCCCCCAGCATCTTTGCCTGCGACGCAGTCGAAACCTTCAAAGCCAGACTCTGGGAAGCCATCCAAGGGGGTAATATAATCATAGTTCCTCCCCACAACTGCAATGTGATGGGACTTAATTCTAAAATGTTCTAGAAGCAACAAACACTCTCTCTCGAACGATAACGTTCTTATTGGTCATCTTTATATCCCTTTTGAGGATCAGGACCAGGATCAGAACAGATTCTCTCTCTCTCTCTCTCTTATTTATTTTTTGGCGGGGGGGGGGGGGGGGAAGGGAGGAGGCAAGAGCCCTTTGCCCTTCCCCCGTTTCCCTCTTTCCTTCTTATTTTTTTTCCTCTTCTTTCTTTCCTTTTATATTTTTTTTCCCTCTCCCTTCTCTCTCTCTCTCTTATTTATTTTTTGGCGAGGGGAGGCAAGAGCCCTTCGCCGTTCCCCCGTTTCCCTCTTTCCTTCTTATTCCTCTTCTTTCTTTCCTTTTAGATTTTCTTTCCCTCTCCCTTCTCTCTCTCTCTCTCTCTCTTAGTTATTTTTTTGGCGGGAGGGGGGGGGGAGGTAAGAACCTTTCGCCCTTCCCTCGTATCCATCTTTCCTTCTTCTTCTTTCTTTCCTTTTATATTTTCTTTCCCTTTCCCTTCTCTCTCTCTCTCCTATTTATTTTTTGGCGGGGGGGGGGGGGGCAAGAGTCCTTCGCCCTTCCCCCGTTTCCCTCTTTTCTTCTTCTTCCTCTTCTCTCTTTCCTTTTATCTTCTCTTTCCCTTTCCCTTTCCCTTTCCCTCTATCACTCTTATTTATTTTTTGGCGAGGGGAGGCAAGAGCCCTTCGCCCTTCCCCCGTTTGCGTCTTTTATTCTTCTTCCTCTTCTTCCTTTCCTTTTATCTTCTCTTTCCCTTTCACTTTCCCTTCTCTCTCTCTCTTATTTTTTTTTTTGGCTGGGGGGGGGGGGGGGAGGAGGCAAAAGCCCTTTGCCCCCGTTTCGCGAAGATCAGTTTGTACAACGTGCGCATAAAATTAAAAAACCACATGCTGGCATGCCGACGTAGAGGGCGCTCTTTAATATTCGTGAGATGAAAACAAAATCAGAAATCAGAGAGCCGAGATCGCAATGCGATTTGTGATTCTTGAACAAGAAACAAAATCACGAAGCAAAAAACGTGTTGCGATTTCCTTTTCTGTGGTGCGAATCAGAATTCAGAAATCAGAAAGAGTTTTTCTAGTTTTAGTTTTCTGATTTCTGATTCGTGTTTTTCACCACCAGAAACGAAATAGCAACACGTTTTTTGCTTCGTGATTTTAATTTTTTGTTTTTAAATAAGAAATGACAAAGGAATTTTGGACTTTTCTGTGTCGTGACAGAATCAGAAAAACGAATTATCCAATAGTACCGTCAATCTCTGTGTATAAGACGCACCTGTGTATAAGACGCAACCCTATTTATTAAGACAAAAAAAAGAAAAAGTGGCTTTTTTTAGCAGACACCGTAGTACGTTTGAAAAGCCAAGTGACTTTCATTTTGCTACGAGGTGAAGTTGAAGGCGCTGATTTGTGATTGTGAAATTGGCACAAATAATATTAACAATGTCGTTTTTTTAATTACCGTAAATCTCCGTGTATAAGGCGCACCTGTGTATAAGGCGCACCCCTATGTTGTTTCTGTTGTTGTTTTGTTTGTTGCCGAAAACCCACACGGGGAAGGACTTTCTTTTAACATCGAGGTACAGTTGAAGGCGTCGATTTGTGCTTGTGAACTTGTCACAAATTATAGTAACAATGTCGTTTTTAGAAGAATGTGTAAGATCATTAATGTAAATTAAAAACAGTAGAGTACCTAGGAAAGAACCTTGTGGTACGCCATGTAATAGAAGAAAAATTTGAGGAATTATTATTGTAAAGTACATATTTTGATCTATCAATATTTGGATTACTTTCAAACCAAGATGACAGACAAATTTGAGTGTTGTTGTAGTTTCCGAGTGGTGAGTGAACACACGGATTACTGAGCTGGGAGACATTGCCAGGCATAGAGGTAGGAGTTTTTTTAACTCTGGTTTTTAGTTGTGGTTTTGGATAGTTGCCTAGCAACTTCCAACACAACTCAGGAATGTGAACAAAATGATGGTTTTTGCTTGCATTGTAAATGTATCTTACAAAATCCAAACCTGATTTATCTAGGGAGCCTAGGCAATATAATAGGATTAGGGAATTGCCCTGAAGTTTAGTTGATTTCATGAAGGTCTATACGAACATATATTCTTAACCCTTTATATGAAGGCAAAGATAAAGGGAATGGATGTAAATGACGATTTGCCGAGTGTTTTCACTAATATGTTTTTTATAAATAGTGACATTCATTCTTATCCAACCAGGCAAACATGCAATTTTCATCTCTCCCCTGTACGCACCGTTCTTGCCTTTAACACAATAACCAATACAGGACCTTCGTTTTGGAACAGTTTGGACGCTGAGATAATTCAATCACCCTCGCTGTATTCATTCAAGCGTAAACTCAAAGACTTTCTCTTGAAATCATACGAATAAGGCACATTATCGTTATTTTTATCTATTCATGGCTTTTTAAAATTCTTTTTTGCTCCTTGCTCGAGTGACTATTACGACTATTATGTAACCACATATCTGTATTCATTGTGTATCAATTATATTTCCCAGATTCATCTTTTTTTCATTGCATTGGAATTTTTTATACAATCATTGGTATATGGAAACCTATATTGTACAAGCATGCTTTTTAATAGGTTCCTCATATTTCACGATACCGATTATTTCCTGCCATCATTGTTTTTTTGTAATTATGCTTTATCTTGCGGACCTTAATAATATGTAAACTGTTATGTTGTGGAATGTGAAACAATACAAAAAAAATATTAATTATTAGCAAGAAAATACAAGAGAAATGATGGTCGAGATCAAATTGAAGACCAGATTGAAACAGAGCTCTTTTTTTAAACTTCGAGAAAAATGGCCTTATCCGGTTGGAGAGACGGGGCATTAGTCTTGTATTCAGGCCCTCCTTTTTGGCTAAGACCCAGTTGGTTTCCTACAGGCCAGGTGAGGTTTCCTCAACTTGCTCTTTGACTTCTCCTGAGTCCAGGAGAACTAAGTCTGGTGTCCGGTGAGGGCATTTAAATGGTACTTGGTCAGGACCAAAGTTTTTTGTGAGGGCGTCTGGCTCTGCCTCGGTGCCTGGGGACCTTTCTCCCCTGCGTCCAAGGTTCCATTTCTAGATGAATTGTGGGAGCCATCCGGGCTGCTGGCCTTGCGGCCCTCCTGGAGGGCGAGGCCTGAGCCCATGATACTAGGAGTATCGGTTCTTCCGGGGCTCTTTTCGAGGTATTGGTCTAAAGGATCTTTTGGGGGCCGCCTTTTGGCCGTCTCCTATTTCTTTTCTTTTTTATCTCAGGGATGTTCCTTCTTGGGGAGGTACTGTTTGGGTCTCCTGAGAGCAGCTTTGTATGCCATTAATCTCCATTAATCCCCTTCTACTTGGGACATGCCACCCGGTCTTATCTGTGCTGGTCTAGCAAATAATAGGTACCGGTAGATACATTGATTTATTGAGGTAAATCAGAAAAATCAGTACTGGTTTTATTATTTACTATATAAATCTATGTATCTACCTATGTCCCTCCCTCCGTCCCCTCTCCTTGCCCGGCAACTTGTCCGAAGTATTATCTCTAGCTCTTTAAAGAGAAGATGATGGGCATGCGGTTGCACATGTGAACCCTGGGCAGACGATGTGGGGCATGCGCGAATGTGATGTTTTAGTTCTTGATGGGTGAACTAGCAAATAATAGGTAGATACCATACATAGATTTGTATAGTAAAAAATAAAATTAGTTCACATGCGCGAATGTGATGTTTTAGTTCTTGATGGGTGAACTAGCAAATAATAGGTAGATACCGTACATAGATTTGTATAGTAAAAAATAAAATTAGTTCTAATTTTTCTGACTTAACTGTAAAATGCCCTGCCAAAATATAGTATGCCAACAGACTCTTTATTGTATCCCCCGGCAGTATGCTGGTGGGGTACTTTGGATTCAGCAGCGTTATGCCGCGTTCGCCACCGCCGCGTTAAATTCTTGTGTGCGCTCTAACTTCCAAATTCCTTGATGAATTTCTTTCAAATGTTGTATAGAGGTGTGTCTTAGTAGTCCATTAGTATTTTAGATGAGTTTTCGCACCTGCCAATGAACACAATCAAAGAAAGTTTAGATTGTTCTTTATATGCTTGTTCTTGCTCTTGCCCATGACACATTCTAATATCTTATTTTTAGTATGTTAAACAATAATTTCATACATTTTTCGTAATAATCTAATCTTGAAAGTGCTTGAAAATCATGATAAATCACTGTGATTACGACCAGAAAATAAAGTACACACACACGTACAGTCAATGGATATTTCTGAAAGTATCTTGTTATCCTTTCAGTAATGAATCCTTCAGGCACTTACCAAGGTCTCATTCAAATTAAGCTAATTATCTTGAGATGCCATTTTGAAACATGGATTGAAGGCCAATTAGCATTCATGCCCTCTAGTATTTCCATTTCATTATGTATCAAACAGGAAATGACTATATTCTATAACTATTGAGTCTTTACGTCACAAAATGAGGAATCAAAGCATCGTGCATCATGTTGGGTAATATTTTATTTTCAGCAGCTGTCAGATCAAGCTTTTTTCCCACTTCAATTCACTTAGAATAGCTTCCAAACAAGAGAATGGTAGGAAGAGGAAAGGAAATCTTTGTTGAGGCATGGTCATCAGTATACATCCAAACATATTAGACGTTTAGATCATTCACTGCTTCTGCATTTGCATGCAGGTTGTAGAACATTTTCCCTCAGCTACTCTGCTCTTGCTATACATTGTTTGTTCTCTACCTTAAAGACTTTAAGTTCGCATACAACCAGCCACTCTTCAAATCTTCCAGTAAGGAATCATGGACTGCTCTTGTCATCAGTGTCTTTTGTCAGGCTTTTAGATGCTGGTGCTCTACAAGTTCCCAGATTGGCTTGGATTGGACATTCTACTTCAATCTGCTTTCGTTCCTGTCCATTAAACCGGCAAGATGAATCTTCATATCTTCTTGTATGTGCTTGCCTTCATTGGGAGAACAGTCCAAGGAAAATGTCCTGTTGGTTGTGACTGTGACACGGTAAACGGTTTGGTCAATGTGGACTGCGCTTGGTGTGGTCTTAACAATGTTCCAGAGGACATTCCATGCGATGCTGGTGAAGTTAACCTGCATACTAACTATATCACTAGACTAAATAAAAAGTCGTTCTCCTGCCAAGCCCAGTTGAGTAAACTTTTCCTATCACAAAATAAATTGAAATACATTGAGAAAAATGTTTTTGAACGCTTGATGAAACTAACATACATCGAATTTGAATCAAATGAACTTGTGAGCATTCCATATCTTGGCTCATTACCTCGCCTTATTGATGTATCTATCTTTAAAAATTTCTTTGTAGAGTGGCCACAGTTGTTTCTTTCTAGTATGCCAGAAAGACAGCCTTTCAAGATGAGTTTGGCATACAACAAACTATCTGATGCACCAAAAGTTCCCTTCAAAATATGGAACCTTAATCTTGAAGGAAACACTGTTACTGATCTGTCCAATGCAGTGTTTACACATCCTGAAGTGATTTTAGAGCTGAATATTGATAAAAATAATGTAGAGTACCTGGAGAAGTTGCAGAAGATGGACAATCTTACGATACTTTCCCTGGAATCCAATGGAATTCGAAGCATTGCTGACACAACATTTGCCTACCTTCCTTCACTTAAAAGAATTAACCTGGCAAGAAATAAAATTGTTGATGTCTCACCCTTCAGAAACATGTCATACATTACAGATATAATACTGGCAAAAAACAGTATAAGACATATCCGTCACCCTGCTTTTACTAACATTCCAAACATAGCTGTCATCTTTCTTAACGATAATGAAATTGTTTGTTATATGCCTCACTCGGACTTCAGTGTACCATCGAGCCTTCTTCTTGGCCGCAACAAAATATCAGTTATGGACATGAATCCTGCAGGGAACTATTCAAACGTAGTAATTCTATATATCGACAACAACCATCTTGGTAACTTTTCCATTCATCCGTTCCCTGGTTTATCTAGTCTTTATGCTTCAAACAATTTCATTAAAGATGTGATATCTCTCAAGTATGAACATCGTTTTCTAACATACATCAACTTGTGCTATAACCAAATCGGGAGTGTGAAAAACTTTGAAAACCTACCTGCCCTAAAGTGGCTGTTTCTCTGTCATAACTCCATCAAAACCTTGGATGATAACAGCCTCATCTACTCGTTTAGTCTTCTTACCCTTGACCTAAGCTACAATAAGTTGTCAGAACTCCTAAACTTCACAGCTTTGCCTGCTCTGAGACGTCTTGATTTATCAGGCAACATCCTTCATGTGATAGGAAATGCAACCTTTGACCACCTACCAAGGCTTGTTACTCTCAACCTTAGCCAAAATCAAATCTCAAAACTTGGTTTTTTCAGTTCGATGCCATCACTTGAAACTCTATCTTTAAGTCACAACCAGCTGAGGACCATCCACCCCCATGACTTCTCTAATCTAAATAATCTTAGAGTTTTGCAGTTAGCTTCCAATTTTATTGTAGAGTTTGAAAACATCAACTTGCCTTCTCTTCAAAGACTTGACATCGGTTTTAATTTCTTAACTCGTATGAATTTTAATCATGTATTGGACCACAGAATTCTATATATCAATGTTGAGAGTAACAGAATAGCTGAGGTTATATCCACTCATGCTCCACTTGTAAGTATCATTGTAAACAACAATGGGATTGGATCATTAAATTCAAGTTTGTTATCTGGGTATAATGTTTTTGCATCCAGCAATAACCTGACCAATTTCAACCAGGTTTGTATTACACCTGGTTTGATTGGACTTTACCTCAATAAAAACCACCTCTCATGCATACCTGATTTTACTTTTTCCCTAGCATCCTCTCTCATATTTCTTGAATTGGCTGACAATCTAATAGTCAAAGTAACAAATTTATCCTTTGTTGGCCTTCAGCTCGTTAGAACTCTGAATCTGGAAAGAAATCAAATAGTCCACCTATCTTCTGGGGTGTTTTCATATATTGGGGATCTGAAGAGTTCTTGAACTGAGTGGAAATCCTTTGACATATAAGTCAAGTCGGCCATTTATGGGAATACAGGGTCTTGAATATCTTAAACTTGCAAATATGCCATTTTCAAATGTGTCCCTTCATGTGTTGGAGGACATTCAACTTGTATATTCACTAAACATTGACAAAAACATGGCTTTTGGACAATTTTTCATCAACAAAGCAAGTGTCTTACCTTTCACAAATTTCCCAAACCTACGGCGTATTTCCCTGTCGTCCAATGAACTTAGAAACCAGTGTCCATTATTACATATTAAATATTTACAAGTGATGGATTTATCCAATAATCTGTTTAGTTCTATTCCTACATATTGCTTGCCAAACTATGCCGACTCTCTGAACTTGTCTCGCAATAGAATCAGGAGTGTCAATAAAGATTCTTTTGGAGAACTTCGACATCTCTGGGTACTGGATCTGAGTTACAACAGAATTGTGTCTTTCAAATTCCGTGCCCTGGAACATCAGAAGAACTTGGCAACTTTACATCTTGCAGGCAATCTACTGACAACACTTGATATTAGTTTCTTGTCCTTCTCTTTGAAGTCAATAGTAATAGATTTACTAGATAATCCTTGGTTATGTGATTGTGACCTGATCATGGCTGTCCGTATGCTGGAGTCCTGGATAGATGATCCTGTTGTTTGCAGTCAACCTGCTGGTTATTCCAACTCTAGTTTAGCTGAACTGGCCACGTCCAACAACTTCACATGTCTACCTCAACTGTGTTCTCAGCCACTGCAGACACTGTTGACATTCATTGGTGATCAGTCAGTCGAGATACCTTGCCCAATCATCATCTCAAATCTGTCGGATATCATTCACTGGTCATTTACCTCTCATAGGCAACAACTGCCCTCTATTGGTAGAGAACTACTAGACAGTGTTTCTGTCCTTCCTCACAATGCCCTCTTTATTGAACATGTCGCCTGAACCTGACAGGGACCTATACCTGTTGGAGTGAGAATGGGGCTGGGCGGACAAAATTCATGGTGAACTTGCTTGTAGAGGAACATCAGGGACGGTTCAGAAACTTATGGAGGATAATGCATTGACAGTGTTGGCCAAGAATTGGAAGGAAACGCTCTCCTGTGGTAACTCTGGAAGCCGTAATAATGATAGATCAATTACAAGAATGATATCGTCTTTATTAGTAGCCCTCTGGCAGCTGAGGGAATGGAAGAAAAATATTTTAATTTGAAAACAAATGGGATGAGTGTAATTTCTTGGAAGCGTAGAAAAAAGCCCTTTTTATTCAAGAGAGCATTTTTGAAAGTGAAATGTTGATTTTTTTTCCCCCTATACAATTGTGCTATAATGAACACTAAGCAAAATCAAAAATACAAATGTCTTTTTCTGAGAATTAATTTTAATCTTTGTTTTTATTGATTGTTTTTGTCTCGCCTGTGTAGCAAAAAGCGAGACATAGGCGCTGCTTTTCCGGGGCGGCGGCGGCGGCAGCGTCAACATCAAAAACTTGACCTAAGGTTAAGTTTTTGAATTTTTGATAAAATTTTTCAAAGTATAAGTTCTTAGTCAATGAAACTTGGACTATAGGGTTATCAAGTCTCCCCAATCATGTAAATAGAATTTCAGGTCACTAAGTTAAGGTCAAAGGTCATTTAAGGTCAACAAACTTAGACTTTGTTGTGGCACCAACATCATGATTTTCAAAATGCTTCTTTTTCGTTATTTTTCAACCGATTTTGATTCTGATTCTGATTCTGATTGTTTCATTTGATAGGACTAGGAGGGGGATTTAAAATTTCTACACAAAATCTCGAAATTCATTATCTATGCTAATTTATGCAAATTTATTCGAAATCACAAAAAAAGGCTTCTTCTCCTTCATTTCTCAACCGATTTTGATTTGGTTTGCTTTATATCGTAGAGCTAACTTTGGTACACTAACCTTCTACACAGAATTTCGAAATTGTTCTCCATTAATTAATTATGGTAATTTATGCAAATTTATTCCAAAAATAACAAAAATTGCTTCTTTTCCCTCATTTCTTGACCGATTTTGATTTGGTTTCCCCCATCTGGTAGAGCTAAATTTGGAACACTAAACTTCTACACAGAATTCTGAGATTTTGCTCCATTGATTATTTATGGTACTTTATGCAAATGAAATGAAATTATGTCCCTTTCAGGACATCAGATTTTTATTTTTTGACCAGTTCAAAAGTGTACCATATAAAATTTACGATATTTGTTGTTGCGAGATCTGGATGAGCGCTACGTCATTGATGTTCTGGTTTATCATATTGAATTGCGTTATGCAGGCGAGACCGCCGAGAGCGTTTCCCTTGTTTATTATTCAAACACTTTGTATGGTTCTTTTATTTGTGAGAGTTAAGAAATATAAGAATATTGTACCAAAGTACCACATGTATATTGTATATATCTATCTATCTATCTATTTATCTATCTATATCTATCTATCTATCTATCCTAGTTTAAGAATGGTCAAGTTCTTATCATATTGACAATTCCAAAACCTTGTTGTACACTTAACTTTTATTTATTATGTTATATATGTAATCAATCTTTCATTGATGATTCAAGACAGTCTCTCTTTAACAGAGTAAGCATATTTAGAACTCAACTACCGTAAATCTCTGTGTATAAGACGCACCTGTGTATAAGACGCACCCCTATTTTTAAGACAAAAAAAAAAGAAAAAGTGGCTTTTTTAGCAGACACCTTAGTATGTTTGAAAAGCCAAGCGACTTTCATTTTGCTACGAGGTGAAGTTGAAGGCGCTGATTTGTGATTGTGAAATTGGCACAAATAATATTAAGAATGTCATTTTTTTAATTACCGTAAATCTCCGTGTATAAGGCGCACCTGTGTATAAGGCGCACCCCTACGTTGTTGTTTTTTTTTTTTTTTTTTTTTGTTGCCAAAAACCCATGCGGGGAAGGACTTTCATGTAACATCGAGGTACAGTTGAAGGCGCCAATTTGTGTTTGTGAACTTGTCACAAATTATAGTAACAATGTCGTTTTTAGAAGAATGTGTAAGATCATTAATGTAAATTAAAAACAGTAGATTACCTAGGATAGAACCTGGTGGTACTCCATGTAAAAGAAGAAAAATTTGAGGAATTATTATTGTAAAGTACATATTTTGATCTATTAGGATTAGGCCTAAAAAAAAAATTGATGACTTGGCGTAACCCGCCCGACCCTATTTTTATCGCTGACCCTACGCTTTTTTATTTTTTTGATCCGATTGCGATTGCGTAAATATCGATATCGCAGTGGGGAAAACCCGGATGTTTGTTGCTTTAATTCGTTCTGGGCTTTGCCGCGCCGTGTTTGGGCCAGCTCGCGCACCGAGTACGCCATAGTACTGCTAGGCGATTGTATCCCCAACATGGCGTCCTATGGCGTTCAGTTCTCGGGTAAATTTGGTGCTCACGTTTTATTCAGCATTCTTCGGAAGGTGGACATTGAAGCAACAATCGAAGAAATCGTTCAAGATCTGGCCGCTGATAATTTTGTGGTTAAGAACATCAAGGCATCTAAGGAAAACTGTGGTCCGTTTTCTGATTTGCTGTTGTCTGAAACAGTGTCACTATCACAAGATTTCGGGTATCGATACGTGGTTGCAACACTCACGCCTGTCAGTGTCACGGATACCGAGGAGGATCGCACGAAGCCCAATGCCTTTGAGGTATTGATGTCTTCGTCAAAACGACGAGACAAAGTCGATCTTCAAGTCATGAAGAAAACGACAAGCTCTGGCAAAGTGGATGACCTAAATATTTGAACATATTGTGGTCTACCCCTCTCATCAGATCATCCCCAAGGTCTGAGGACCTATCTACGCCACTGTATGTATGTATGTGTATGAATGGCTAATTTCATGTATGCAAATATAAGCAACAACAACAACAACAACAACAAAAAATCGCCCTACCTACCCTAATTTTCAGTGACCCGTTACGCCAAGTCATCAATTTTTTTTTTAGGCCTTACTTTCAAACCAAGATGACAGACGAATTTGAGTGTTGTTGTAGTTTCCGAGTGGTCACACACAGATTACTGAGCTGGGAGACATTGCCAGGCATATAGTGACAGGTGGAGGGGCATAAATCGAAACTTTAAAAAAAAAAAATTGGCGGCAAAAAAGTGCGGTTAATACAACGTTAATTACGGTAGGCTATAAGTTCTAGTTTCTGAATGGTCAGTCGACATCCAGTGTGTGAGTGAGCTGGGACCATGTTGGCGCTCTTCCGGGCACGGGTTGGTGTCGCCTGGCACAGAGCTACAGACAGTGCTTGAGAGTGAGCATTTTATGCTGCAAAAACTAGTGGAGTTTCAATTGCGTTTCAAAAAGCCAAACTCCAGAGGTAGGAGTTTTTTTAACTCTGGTTTTTAGTTGTGGTTTTGGATAGTTGCCTAGCAACTTTCAACACAACTCAGGAATGTGAACAAAATGATGGTTTCTGCTTGCAGTGTAAATGTATCTTACAAAAATCAAACCTGATTTATCTAGGGAGTCTAGGCAATATAATAGGATGAGGGAATTGCCCTGAAGTTTAGTTGATTTCATGAAGGTCTATAAGAACATATATTCTTAACCCTTTATATAAAGGGAAAGATAAAGGGAATGGATTTAAATGTAAAATAAAGATTTATAAATTCATAATGTTTTTAGTTCATGGATGTTGAATCTGTATTGAAATTCATGCACAAAGAAAAATCAATAAAACATTGACTTAAAAAGATAAATCCTCACCTCTTGTTTATATTACCTTGTTCTGTTATTTGGTTAACCTTGGTTGCTTGATGTTTGAACAAGAAAAAAGGGGGTAACCCAGAAAATTAAAATAACCACCGATTGAATATTATAGAAGGAATTATGAGATAACAATCAGTCGTGTACAGGATGATTTTCTCAATGTCACAGAATTATCTTTTTATGTTTATCCAGATTGAAAAGGACAAATACTTTAGCTGAAAGTAAAATGGACATTTACACATATACTCTTTTCACACTGGTTTTGCTTAACCCCGTACTTTGCTTAACCCCGGACTATTTTTTTGGCTTTTCACACTCGCTGTTTTTAGTCCCGTACTAGCGCCTATTCCGGAGTAAGAAAATTTCTGCTGTTCTCACTGCATTTCGTTAACCCCGGATATCGTGTATGTTATGATTGGACATACTTCGCATCTGGCCAGCTGCGATACGCTCCATTGCGTAGTACCGGACTATTTTTCGTTTCTGTTCTCATTCATTTGCTTAGCACCGCAATTGCGGGGTTAGCAGGAGTTAGCACCACAATTGCGGAGTTAGCCCTGCTTTTTTGCAGGGTTAGTTAACCCCGTACTATAGGTGGGGTTAGCCAACTTTAGCCCACTTTGGTAAAAACCAGTCTGAACAGAAAGTGGAATAGGCTTAACCCCGTACTATAGGTGGGGCTAAGACCCCCCCCCCCCCCTTAACCCCACCTATAGTACGGGGTTAAGCAAAATATTGCCAGTGTGAAAACAGTAATAGAGTAAAAGGGATTGCATCACATTTGGCGGTCTTCCATTTCTTTTATCTCAGGGACGTTTCCTCTGGGGAGGTGTTCTGCCATTAATCCCCAGTAATCTTCTTCTTTTTGGGACATGCCTCCCGGTCCTTTCTGTGCTGGTCTAGCAAATAATAGGTAGATACATTGATTTATTGTGGTAAATCAGAAAAATCAGAACTGGTTTTATTATTTACTCTATAAATCTATCTACCTATCCCTCTGTTCCCTCTCCTTGCCCAGCAACATGTTTAAAGCGTAGCAAATAATAGGTAGATACATTGATTTATATAGTAAATAATAAAATCAGTTCTGATTTTTCTGATTTACATAGTAAATAATAAAATTAGTTTTAATTTTTGTAGAATGCCCTGCCAAAATATAGTATGCCAACAAACTTTTTATTGTATCCCCCGGCAGTACGCTGGTGAGGTACTTTGGATTGAGCAGCGTTACGCCATGTTCGCCCCCGCCACCGCCGGTCATATTTTGGTGGCTGTCTTTTGTGTGCTCTAACTGCCACATTTCTTGACACATTTCTTTCATACTTTCTACAGAAATGCATTATACTCTAATCTACACACATATTGTTTTGGTGATGCTACTCCTAGTGATCATCTCCAAGTCATCTTTTTGTTTCAGGGAGGGGAGAGGGGATTTTTGTCCTTCCTTCCAACATAAGGATGACACAAAATGGTTGCCACTGCCGGGGGATACAGATTGCGATATTTCTAGTTTTAATCCCGTCTGTTAGTATTTTTTATGCTTCTTCTTGCTAATGCCCATCACACATTCAAATATCTTATTTTTAGTATGTTTAACAATATTTTCATACATTTTTCGTAATAATCTACTCTTGAAATTGCTTGAAAATCATGAAAAATCACTGTGATTACGACCAGAAAATAAAGTACACATACACAATCAATGGATGTAATATGTCTGAAAGTATCTTTTTATCCTTTAATGAATCCTTCAGGCACTTACAAAGGTCTCATTGAAAGCTAATTATCTTGAGATGAAACATGAGATTTTGAATCATGGATTGAAGGCAAATTAGCATTCATGCCCTCTAGTATTTCCACTTCATTATGTATCAAACAGGAAATTACTATATTCTATAACTATTGAGTTTTTACGTCACAAAATTAGGAATCAAAGCACCGTGCATGATGTTGGGTAATATTTCTTTTTACAGCAGCAGTCAGATCAAGCTTTTTTCCCACTTCAATTCACTTAGAATTGCTTCCGAACAAGAGAATGGTAGGAAGAGGAAAGGAAATCTTTGTCTGGGCATGATCAGCAGTATACATCCAAACTTAAGACATTTAGATCATTCAATGATCTGCTTCTGCATTTGCATGCAGTTTGTAGAACATTCTCCCTCAGCTACTCTGCTCTTGCTATACATTATTTGTTCTCTACCTTGAAGACTTTAAGTTCGCATACAACCAGCCACTCTTCAAATCTTGAAGGAAGGAATCATGGACTGCTCTTGTCATAGGTGTCTTTTGTCAGGCTTTTAAATGCTTGCACTCTAAAAGTTCCCAGATTGGCTTCTATGGATTGGACATTCTACTTCAATCTGCTTTCGCTCCTGTCCATTAAACCGGCAAGATGAATCTTCATATCTTCTTGTTTGTGCTTGCCTTCATTGGGAGAACAGTCGAAGGAAAATGTCCTGTTGGTTGTGACTGTGACACGGTAAACGGTTTGGTCAATGTGGACTGCGCTTGGTGTGGTCTTAACAATGTTCCAGAGGACATTCCATGCGATGCTGGTGATGTTAACCTGCATACTAACTATATCACTAGAATAAATAAAAAGTCATTCTCCTGCCATATCCAAATGAATAAACTTTTCCTATCACAAAATAAATTGAAATATATTGAGAAAAATGTTTTTGAACGATTGGTGGAACTAACATACATCGAACTTGATTCAAATGAACTTGTGAGCATTCAATATCTTGGCTCATTACCTCACCTTTTCGATGTATCTATCTCTAAAAATTCTTTGTTAGAGTGGCCACAGTTGTTTCTTTCTAGTATGCCAGGAAGACGACCTTTCAAGATGAGTTTGGCATACAACAAACTGCCTGATGCACCAAAGGTTCCCTTCAAAATATGGAACCTTAATCTTGAAGGAAACGCTGTTACTGATCTGTCCAATGCAGTGTTTACATATCCTAAAGTGATTTTAGAGCTGAATATTGATAAAAATAACGTAGAGTACCTGGACAAGTTGCAGAAGATGGACAATCTTATGATACTTTCCCTGGAATCCAATGGAATTCGAAGCATTGCTGACACCATATTTGCCTACCTTCCTTCACTTGAAAGAATTAACCTGGCAAGAAATAAAATTGTTGATGTCTCACCCTTCAGAAACATGTCATATATTACAGAGATTATACTGACAGAAAACAATATAAGACATATCCGTCACCCAGCTTTTACTAACATTCCAAATATAGCTTTCATTGATCTAAAGGATAATGAAATTGTTTGTTATATACCTCACTCTGACTTCAGTGTACCATCGAGCCTTCTTCTTGGCAGCAACAAAATTTCAGTTATAAACATGAATCCTGCAGGGAACTATTCAAATGTAGTAATTCTAAATATCAACAACAACCATCTTGGTAACTTTTCTATTCATCCGTTTCCTGGTTTATCTAGTCTTCATGCTTCAAACAATTTCATTAAAGATGTGATATCTCTCAAGTATGAACATCGTTTTCTAACATACATCAACTTGTGCTATAACCAAATCGGGAATGTGAAAAACTTTGAAAACCTACCTGCCCTAAAGTGGCTGGTTCTCTGTCATAACTCCATCAAAACCTTGGATGATAACAGCCTCATTGGCTTGTTTAGTCTGCTTACCCTTGACCTATAGCTACAATAAGTTGTCAGAACTCCTAAACTTCACAGCTTTGCCTGCTCTGAGCCGTCTTGATTTATCAGGCAACATCATTCACGTGATAGGAAATGCAACCTTTGACCACCTACCAAGGCTTGTTACTCTAAACCTTAGCCAAAATCAAATCTCAAAACTTGGTTTTCTCAGTTCAATGCCATCACTTGAAACTCTATCTTTAAGTCACAACCAGCTGAGGACCATCCACCCCCATGACTTCTCTAATCTAAATAATATTAGAGTTTTGCAGTTAGCTTCCAATTTTATTGTAGAGTTTGAAAACATCAACTTGCCTTCTCTTCAAAGACTTGACATCGCTTTTAATTTCTTAACTCATATGAATTTTAATCATTTATTGGATCACAGAATTCTATATATCAATGCTGAGAGTAACAGAATCGTTAGTGTTATATCCACACATGCTTCACATGTTAGTATCAATGTCAACAACAATGGGATTGGATTAGTAAATTCAAGTTTGTTATCTGGGTTTAATGTTTTTGCATCCAGCAATAACCTGACCGATTTCAACCAGGTTCGTATTACAACCCGGTTTGATGGGACTTTACCTCAATAAAAACCACCTCTCATGCATACCTGATTACACTTTCTCCCTAGCATCCTCTCTCATATTTCTTGAATTGGCTGACAATCTGATAATCAAAGTGACAAATTCATCCTTCATCGGCCTTCAGCGCATAATAACTGTTAACCTGGCAAGAAATCAAATAGTCCACCTTCCTTCTGGGGTGTTTTCATATATTGGGGATCTGAAAACTCTTGAACTGAGTGGAAATCCTTTGATACTTACGTCAAGTAGGCCATTTATGGGAATACAGGCTCTTCGATATCTTATACTTGCTAATATGCCATTTTCAAATGTGTCCCTTCATGTGTTGGAGGACATTCAACATGTATGTACACTAAACATTGACAAAAACATGGCCTTTAGACAATTTTTCATCAACAAAGCCAGTGTCTTTTCTTTCACGAATTTCCCAAACCTACGGCATATTTCCCTGTCATCCAATGAACTCAGAAACCAGTGTCCATTATTACATATTAAATATTTACAAGTGATGGATTTATCCAATAATCTGTTTAGTTCTATTCCTAAATATTGCTTGCCAAACTATGCGAACTCTCTAAACTTGTCTCGCAATAGAATCAGGAGTGTCAATAAAGATTCTTTTGGAGAACTTCAACAGCTCTGGGTACTGGATCTGAGTTACAACCAAATTGTGTCTTTCGAATTCAGCGCCCTCGAACATCAGAATAACTTGGCAACTCTACATCTTGCAGGCAATCTACTGACAACTCTTGATATTATTTTTTTGTCCTTCTCTTTGAAGTCAATAGTAATAAATTTACAAGATAATCCTTGGTTATGTGATTGTGACCTGATCATGGCTGCCCGTATGCTGGAGTCCTGGATGGATGATCCTGTTGTTTGCAATCAACCTGCTGGTTATTACAACTCTAGTTTAGTTGAACTGGCCATGTCCAACCACTTCACATGTCTGCCTCAACTGTGTTCTCAGCCACTGCAGACACTGTTGACATTCATTGGTGATCAGTCAGTCGAGATACCTTGCCCAATCATCACCTCAAATCTGTCGGTCATCATTCACTGGTCATTTACCTCTCATAGGCAACAACTGCCCTCTATTGGTAGTGAACTGCCAGACGGTGTTTCTGTCCTTTCTCACAATGCCCTCTTTATTGAACATGTCGGCCTGAACCTGACAGGGACCTATACCTGTTGGAGTGAGAATGGGGCTGGGCGAACAAAATTCATGGTGAACTTGCTTGTAGAGGAACGATCAGGGATGGTTCAGAAACTTATGGAGGATAGTACGTTGACAGTGTTGGCCAAGAATTGGAAGGAAACGCTCTCCTGTGGTAACTCTGGAAGCCGTAATATTGATAGATCTATTACAAGAATGATATTGTCTGTTTTAGTAGCTTTGTACAAATATTTTGTTCACTTGTTACAAACAATTGTATTTTTAAAGTACGAATTCAAACAGACAAACATTACGGGAGAAAAACATTAATGAAAATGGTCAAAGGTCTTTATCTTGTTCCAGCTAAAGCTAGTGTACGGTATACATCCTTTCAGCTAGCTGTGTTTTAGTGTTGAGAAAAAAATTCTTGTTTGGAAAGGAAATAGTAGCAACCACGGTAGATCCATGATTGTGTTCCACCACTCGCGCGATATGAATCTAGCTACATTGTAAAATTGTAGGTAACTAGCTAGCTGCGCACTGCACGGTCTGCCGAATCCAAAATCAAAGCGAGTGCCAGTAACTAACAAGCGATTGCCTAATAATTCTTCACTTCCGGCCGAGGCTGGCCACGGTAAGTGAATTTCACCAGCAGTATGAATGGCACATGTGGAAAAGCGGCGTTTTCACCTTTGTTTATATAAGTCAAATTCTATCAGTATTTTCATCTGTCTGACTCCGATGGAAGGACCATGAAAGGGTATAGGAGAGTCACATGACCAAAACTTGGAATGATTCCCCAGTGTTTTTTAAAGCGAGCATTTATACTGCAAAAAGCCAAAAGAGGTGGATTTTCTGCTGGCTTTTCAAAGAACTGAACTCAGAGTTGAGTTTTTTATTTAAGTTTTTAGTTGTGTTAATTGGTAGTTATCTTGCAACTCCAACATGACTCCGGAATGTGAGAAAACTGATGTTTTTTGCTTGCAGTGTAAGTGACCATAATGAAATGTCGCAGCAAAATCCAAACATGATTTATCTAGGGAGTCTAGGCAATATAATAAGGTCAAGAAATTGCCCTGAAGTTTAGTTGATTTCATGAAGGTCTATACGAACATATATTTTTAACCCTTTTAATATATGAAGGGAAAGATAAAGGCCCAAATTCACAAAAGAGGTTTAAATTTAACCCATGGTTTAAACCAGGCCTTCTCAACTGATGGCCCGCGCCACTTGTGGCGCTTGCAGTCAGTCCGAGTGGCGCGTGGCTGTTCCAAAAAATAAATAAGAAATAAATAAAAATTAAAGAAAGAAAAAATTTTAAAACTCAGCAGATTAAAAAGTCGCAGTCAAAGTTGAGCCCAAAATGTAAGCAAGCCAATTTGTTTGTTTGATTTTCACTTGATTTTGACATTTTCCGTGTTTATTGCACCAAAATAACTACATATACATTTACTTCCAGTGTAGATTTTGAATTGGGAATTGTACTTATTATTTCACATCAATATGAAATTATGATTGATATTTTATGGAATAAAAAGGTGTTGAAAATGCCACATGTGGGCCTTTAAAAAGCCCTAAAATCCACTAGCTTCCGGGGGCTTTGCCCCCTGGACCCCACCCAGTATCTCGCAACACAGTCACCAAACATACAGGTTGGCACTTCAACCACAATACATTTTTGTTTTGGCACTTCTAATAAACTAGTTGAGAAGGCCTGGTTTAAACCCTCATTTACATAACCCATGGTTTAAAAATTAGCGCAGAATAAGCGTCCCGTGCCTTGCGCGCGTCTAATATTGGACCTCCTGACTGTGTTGTGCTTATTTTGCGCTAATTTCAAACCATGGGTTATGGAAATGCGGGTTTAAACCATGGGCTAAATGTAAATCTCCTTTGTGAATTCGGGCCATATGGAGTATATGAAACTAGAATTGCAATCGTGATCAGCGATATGGGTGCAATGACGTCCGTGTTTCTACGTGTCAAACAAAAGATCTGTAAGATCTGCAATCTGTAAGAAGTCTGTAGCTTCTGTGCTAGTGGAGATAGGTAGGGCAAAAGAAAGGCCTCAAAAACAACCCGAAACAGACGAAATGGTGCCTTGACGGTCACGCATGAGTGATTCAGGAAAACAAAGATTTCAGTGACCTTGATGGGATGCTAGAGACTAAGCCTAAGAAGTTTTAAAGGATTTGGGATAGACGAAGGGACCTAGAAAGGGCTCGCAAACACTGCGTGCAAAACGAATGGGATTGAGGTAAATGAAGAACATATGTGATGACGCGTTCTGTGGCACTAACAGCCGTCAATACTAACAAAATACTGCAGAGTATAAAATGGGGTCTAAAATGGCCCCCTTGACAGATTTTGAAAATGTGGCACCAAGGTGCACTGCGTATTTCATCTCAGAATGTCACTTCAAAATTTCAAGGAGAGAAAAGCACGGGAAGGGGGTGAAAAAGCAGTCTGAAAAAATGACGACATAGCCGTGTTATAACTTGGCGGAAACTCAGCAGAATTTGTATAGTGTCCCTTGTTCAAACGCGATTTACTCAAATATTTCTGTAGTAACATATGACGTTTTTGGTATCATTCGGAAGAGCACTTCGTTTCGGTAAGTTTGACACAATTGTCATCTACGAGCATTGTACTGCACGCATTAAACGGGCTGTTATGTAATGCATAGTAAATTCATCATTTTGGGCAACAACTTTGCGCTGACGTCATCAAATTTTACCAAACTTGGCAGAAAGTTCTCACGTACTTGGTTTACATGTGTGTGCCAAGTTCCATTGACGTAGGTATAAGGATTGTCATTTTAGAGCAATTTGAAGTTATATCACAATTTTTTTTTTTAAATAGCAAATTTGGAGGGGAATTTTCTCAAGTTTGGTCAGTATTAGGGTATATAATTTTGCATTTGGCTGGAAAGGGCATATCTTGAAGTATCAAAATCCAAGAAAGGGTATGGGTTTAGCCAGAAACAATGGAGATACGGCCACAGAAAAAAGTCAATTCCCAGAACTTTAGAGGGCGCTATTTATTTAGCCATTGGAGCGTAAAATTAGGCATGACTATGTGCAGTTATAAGATAAAGATACCGTGAGATTTAAAAACAAAACAGAATTTATATCACAAAGTTATGGCAGTTTTAGATTTTAGGGGTCAATTTTTCAAGAATTTTAGAGATGTTTGACGGAGTCGGTTTCAGATTTGATTTTTGAGACGAAGATGGCATTTTGAAGGTCAGGTTATCAGTCACAGATAAAAGAACATCTCTTAGACTATCCCGAGGAATTTGTTTCAAAAATTTAGGATCTAGGATAGTGGAGATAGGAACAAAATAAGAAAGGCCTTATAATGGACCAGAAACGGACAAAATGGAGCCTGGATGGTTACGCATGAGTGATCTTGAAAAACGAAGAACGTAGTGACCTTGATGGGATGCTATAAAATATGCCTACGAAATTTGAAAGGAATAGAGCAAAGGGAAAGGACCTAGATAGGAATAACAAGCGCTACGTGCAAAACGAATGTGATTTCCTGACGAAAAGAAGAACAACAAGAATATTTATAGGGCAGAATGTGAACAAAAACAAATATGACAAAGGTGTGAATTACATGAAAAATTCATTTGTAAAATAAAGATTTATGAATATATCATGCTATGACTTCATGTGTTTTGAATATGTAAATTCATGTGCAAAGAAAAATCAATAAAGCATTGCTCACCTCTTGTTTGTATTTCCTTGTTCTGTATATTTTTTAACCTTGGTTGTTTTGAAGGGAATTAAAAAGGGGAACCCCAAAAATGAAAATAACACTGATTAAATCTCATAGGAGGAACTATGATTTACACGTTTGTGTACATTATAACAATCAGTCATGTAAAGAATGATTTGCTCAATTTTACAGAATTAAAAAAAAAATCTTATCCAGATTTTCCTTTGAAATGGACAAAGACGTTTGCTGAAAGTGTAAAGTTCTTTTAAACAGAGACTTAAAGCCCCACTGTACTACATGTAGCTACTTGCTCCCTCTCTATAGAAAACAATGCCTAAGCAGTGCCCGTTGGTCCCCCATAATCCTCTTTTTCTTATGTTAATTGAGAGCTGAGTTGATGAGATAGCCACCTGTCAGTGACCACGCTGGATGGTCTGATCTCTCCACGCCAAACTAGAACACACAGGCTTTAAAGGGACTGCATCTCATTTGCAAAGTTTTTCTAACATAATGAAATTTTCTTGCCCGCATTATACCTACAGTAGTAGTAGTGTTTGTGTGTCGCGAAGACGAAGACGGCCCTTCCCTTTCATTTCTTTTGAGGGGTCGTAGGATCTGTGTGGGATGCGTATAATTGAGAGAGGAGGACATACAGTAGATGATTGAAGAATAACAAACGGACAGAATATGGATTACATTATACCTGAAGGATTATGTGAATGAGATCCTACAGTTATAGGTTCAGCTGTATTTTTATTTAAAAGGAAACAACGATGCTGATTGTGGGGCAATAAGTGTAGGACATTGAATGTACATGTAATGTTACTATTAATTGATCTTGTTATCAAATCAATTCTAAAGATTGCTTACATGCCTGGACGATATACTTTTGTATACCCTTGAGCTCTCAGTTGATGAAACTGTTTCCAAAAACTTATGATATTCTTCATGGGTGCAATGGTGATACCAATACACTGTAAATACTATATGTGGTGTTGTTACTTGTCATAAATGCATGTATATAGCAGATGCTGTGAAACTATTTCAGAAGGACATTAGGGGTGTTTGATATGGGGGGGGGGGGGGCAACATCATGGGTCCATAATAGGATTAACTCGCTTTTGCTGGAGCACCATAAAGGCCTCTAAAATGACCTCATTAGTGTGATTCTTCTTGAATTGAATTGTTTTAGATTTTATTATTAACATTGTGTTCAAAATGATAATGAATCGGTTGAGGATGACAATGTATACTTTCAGTAACTCTTGGTTCAGAAAAGGGATGATGAGATTTTCTTGTTGTTCATGTGCTATCAATTGTCAGAACTGTTATTCTTTCAACTTCCACTGGTCAGTGAATCACTGTCATTTTTATGTAAAATTAGCATTTTAGGAAACCATTCAATCATACTGTTTCACTTTCGTTGTTGATGATGTCACTATATAATGTTGGAGAGAGAGCTTTTCTCGGAACATGAGTCACACTTGTGGTAATTTTTGTTTAAATCAACAGCAGCATTGCACTCATTCATTGAGTATTATGTAGAGGATAACGTTGTATTTGTTACTAAATATGGTCATTCAAGATATTAAAATATGGATTAACATACTTGTCAAGTGTATTTGTGTATTCTTCTTATATTAAGTTTTCGTCTTATATGTGTAAATTTTAAAAAATATAGAGACTTTAGATACTAGCATAATTAATGTTTCCTCTGGCTTTGATAATGAGCATGTGTTTTATAATCTTTGTTTCATTTTATATCCCAACAGATTACGTGTATATATGTTCCATATTAGATTTTAAGACTGAGATCTTGCGAAATATCACTTTTAACTTTAGATCATTTACAATTAGTACATGTTGTTATGATTTTGTCTCTATTTCTCATTCCAATATGCGGACTTCTGGACCGATCAATTAGGCAGTGAGCTAGCTTCCTCGCCGCCTCACCTAGCTAAGCAGTGAAAGATGATTAGTTTCTAATGGCTTGGGGAGATCCTTCTGCTGAAGATCTTTTGCTGGAAGGCAGATTAGATCCTTTGAAGTGTCGAATAACCCTTACACAATCCAGGCATTTCCGTTATATGGCAGAACACGATACGACTCGTTGGATATTATTCCAATAATGATTAATCTGCATCAAATCCCTTTATCTATAAGAAAACGATTTAAAGGCTCACTGATTAGTTTTTTCAGAAGTATTGTCATGGGTTTGTTTTTAATGATTGTTTTTCCTGCTAATTGGGTTGATGATCTGGGCCCTGTTTCATAAATCTTGTTATCAATAACAAGTTTATCAATAATTGTTATGAGCTACTGATATTGTGGCATTTGATCAACTAAGAGCTAATTAGCCATAACATTTTAGCAATTGTTATTGATAACAAGTTTTTATGAAACAGCTAGCTAGGGGCCTGGTTTTGTTTATCATTTTCAATTTAATTCATTTTTTTGTCCATATTAATATGAAAAGTCCTATCATTTACACTGCATATACATATTAAAGGAGATATATGAATAATCTCAACGACCAAATTTTTTTTCTTTGAAATAGGTACATTTGATAATGAATGATTACTGAGTCTATATTATGAATAAACAGTTATTTATTGAAAACAGAAAATGAAGCCTGAATGGTTAATTTATAGAAAGTTTTTATTCTTTAAATGATACGGTATGTATGAATGTATGTACATATATGTAGGTTAGGTTTGTAGGGGAGGAGGGAAGGAGATGATAAGAACCCCTCCAACACTCTCCTCTCACTAAAAGGCCTTGTTCCAGGGCATATTATCCACGCCCTCATAAGTTGGTGCCCCTCGAGTTGCTGAACTTGCATTTTGCCACAGGCTTCCAGTCATAAGATTCTTGTCATGTTAGTGTACAACATCAGCACATTCTCCACTCCCTGGGGACCGTTCCGATCAGCATCCACAGTGCTGGCTGATTTGATCTACCGGTAGTTAATAGCTATGGTTTTAGGTTCTTACACAATATTTATCAAGTTGAAGAGCATTTTCAATATGCATTTTTTTCCAATTGAGGTCAAACAAACAAAAACAAAAATGGTGGACACATTTTTTTTCAATTTTATTAATTGCTTAAAAAATTCTCTCCTTATCAACATAACACATATTAGTTTTGACATGAAATAGCTGAGCATAATTGATGGATGGATTATTGTTTCTCATTTAGACAACTCCAGACAGTTTGACTTTTTATTTTTGGTTTAATTTAATTCTTATTTTAAAGACCATCATTACTGCTGGGCCAGAAGGGATTAGACCACACAGCGAGGTCACTGACAGGTGGCTATCTCATTAACTCAGCTCTCAACTAACATAAGAAAAAGAGGATCATGGGGGACCAACAGGCACCGATTGGGGAAGTTCTCTATATAGAGGTAGCAAGTAGCTACAAGTAGGACAGTGGGGCTTTAAATACTTGTTTGATTGTTCTCCTGATGCCTGATTGCATTGATAGTATTAACTACACGTACATTGTACAAGCATGAAAACCGCAAGTCCATTAATAACATTTTAAACTGTGGTGAGTTGCACTTTGAAGGTAACTTAATTGTCTCACATGGAAATTATTGATGCATTGTCAATGTCTGTTCATCCATGAGGAAATGATTTGAAGAGATACTTTTCTCAAACATTGAGTCATTATCTGACTAATTCACCAGGCATTAGGCTCTATTTCTCCATATTTATATCATACAAAGGATATTGCGGAAGTTGATTAAAGGCTCAATGTTCAAGGAAATAAAATTTGTGGGAAAGTACTTTCAGCGCATTTTGGGGGAAGGGATACCATTGTTATAGCAGGAAATAAAAGAAACACTTCCATTCCTGTTTACTGGAATTTAGTGGACAGTGGGAGTCTTTAAATATGCCTAAAAATGAATTTTAAAAAACATTTTTTGTTTTAAAAGCTTTGAATCCCAAATTTATGACCTTATCAAATATTTTTATGATTCTCTTTCAACATCTAGTATGATTCTTGGACTTTGTATATGATGTATTGTAAACATTTTATGTAGTTTGCATGGACATGTAAATATAATGATCACATGAATACCAACCCACTCCTTCTTTTCCCCTTTTTAATCAAATCTGTTATCGCTGTAAACCTTTTTACCTGGATCGTTTTCATAAGGTGTACCGGTTCTCCGGTAGTCATGTGACATGGGTTGATCCAGTTTGGTTTCCTTCCTGACTTGCCAAACATGAGAGCTCATGCCAAAACCAAAGTGAAAAGTCGAGAAACATTAACCTCTCCACGGCTTCAGAAATACTCCCGCTTCTGGTGGAATTGGTCCTGTTTTGAGGTTTGTTCAAAGAGACAGCTAGAATTAAGTCAGGGCTAGCTGTGGAAACTGGTTTGAAATGTGACTGTGTCTTAATTGCCGGAGTGACCATTTGGACAATATACAGTTCCAAAGTACATGAGGAAATAGTTTTGCATCATTTTGGGTTGACGACGGAGAGGTGCTTCAATCTTGAAACTTCACCAGGTTTACTTGGGGAGTCAAGATAAATTTGATATTTGGGAAGGAATTGCTGCTGTGTGTAGCAATGTCTGAAATGATGGGTAAGTCAGTAATCGTACAGTATTTCAATGAGGGGCAAGCTTTTAGACTTTCCTGGCCACCAGTCACCTAGCTTCCCGGCCATGTTCGTTCCTCTGACCTACAGCTTATGACACGTACACATATATATATATACTGGGTACTGTTTTACTGGAGGAAGATTCAAAACCTTTGATTGTTTGTTGTCGTTGATGATGATCAATGATGATGATAATTTTTAGGTAGAAAATATATATTTAATATCAACTGAGCAGCAGCAAAACATTTGATAGGTACATTTGGCTCTCTCATTACAAAGACTGTTGTAATGACCATGCAGCTGCCAACACGTTGTCTGTTGATACTGGAAGCAGATATTCTACTACATTGTGTATAGTCCATGTACATAGATTTGTTTATGGAAACAGGATCAGTGTGGATATGATACAGTGTATATGGAAACTTCTAAGTACGGGTAGGAAGAAAGTCTGCTACTGAAGTTTCATTGTTTATCTTTCTCTGTTTTTGGATTGGGAGCCCCTTACAGAAATTTAGCTTGCGGCAAACTTACCGTAATAAGCTTGTATTACTCATTTAAGCTTGCAAAACTTGTTCACAATCTTACAAGTATCTTGCTGCAAGCTTGCAGACAAAGAGAGATATGCATGCAAGCTTGCAGAAGCGCAATATAAAGCCCTTGCAATCTTGCAGGCCGACAGTGTACATACCCTGCAAGCTTGCAGGGGCGCAAACTAAAGCTCTTGCAAGCTTGCACGCAAAGAGGATATGCCCTGCGAGCTTGCAGGTGCACAATCTAAAGATCTAGCAAGCTTGCAAGCTCCTTTGCAAACTTGTAGGGGCGCGATCTCAAGCTCTTGTTAAAGTTTGCAGGCTCAGAGTCTGGCCAAATTTGTACATAACCATATAAACATACCGGTAATAAAGATCAATCAAATGAGTGACACCAATTGCCCAGTGTTCAGTTCGTAACATTACACATGTTTTTTCTTTGTTGTACTGTGCCTAAGGGAGTTTTTGTGAGGCCAGTATATGATTTCTTGCTCTACGAACTTCCTGAGTGTGGAGTATGTAACTTTAAATCATGATAGCAAAAAGGAAAGTAAAATGAAAATTGTTGACGATTTTTTTTTGGTAATGCAACCTTTGCTCCGGAATTTTTTTTCTCTGTGCTAGATTTCATAAAAGATAAGGTACAGAACAAGAATTTGGGTACTATTAGACTTGTTTTTAGGTTTGTGTTTAGACTTTAGGTCAGATTGATGTTGGATATTCAAGTCAGTAACATTTTGACACTTGACCACACTTCCTAAAGCCTTGAGCAGAGCCTAGCACTCACAGTGTCTCCCCGTGTCCACACCAAGTGTCACGCATTGAGAATCTTGAACTGGGAAGAAAGAAAAAAAGGTAGTAATTGCAAGACTACGTACTGGCCAACCAGCTCGATGTCTCAGCTGGCTCCTTGCAGGGTTCGTGTACATATATCGCATGCAGGCTGGTTATCGAGTCTCGTCACGCGATTTCGAAACATATGCTATACCCTCACATGCGCGCTTGCGCGCCGAGTCATGAAAATGTCACGCATAGCAAATCCATTGTATAACTAACTGTATAACTTGTGTGTGTGTGTGCGCTTACTAGCGATACGTCGTATAACGAAACGCGGATCTGGGCATCTTTTCGAACTAGAACTCGATAAAGAATCAAGGAATGTGCTGTGTGTGGACATAACTAGTATAGCTGGTCGAACTAGAACGGTATAACTGGGCGGGATTAACGTGACTGCGCGCGAAAGGAGACCTGGGGGGTGTTTCATAAAGATGTTCGTAAATACGCACAACTTTACGCACGACTAGAACATGTTCTTGGGTGCTAATCAGATTCTCAATCATTTACATGTAGCACAAGAACATATCACCAGTCGTGCGTAAAGTCGTGCGTAACTTACGAACAGCTTTATGAAACACCCTCCCCCCCCCCCCCGACCTCTCATTTTTGCTTCCGTTTCATGACCGTAGTAGCAAAAATGTGAGTTTCGCGATTACTTTCTTGTGTGTGGATGCCCTGGAATTTATACGATGATTCTTTGTACAACGTTTCTTTAAAGAGTTTCAGGATAAAAAAAATTGTGTGTGGACACGCTGCATGTCTGTGTCATATTAGAGCAGTGTAAAGTACAGAGCCAGTGCAGAATACCGTCGGCCTAGTCTCTCTTTGCAGACACTGTTAGTGTTATGCACAGTGACTGACATTGGTTCATGTGCACATGCAAACTACGGTAGTAACATCCCTACAACAAATTAATGTCATACCTATACAATATACATCCATTGATTTGTCCTGCGATGCAACAGGTCAATTCCGTATGCCATGCAACAGTATACCCGTAAATCTCTGTGTATAAGACGCACCCCTATTTTTTTTGGGGGGGGGGGGGGGGGAGAAAAAAGTTTGTTTTTCTGGCCGACTCTGTCGGCAGCAAGCCAGGTCCCCGTTAAAAAACTCACGCGGAGAAGGACTTTCATTTAAGGTGCAGTTGAAGGCGCCGATTTGTGCTTGTGAACTTGTCACAAATAGTAACAATGTCGTTTTTAGAAGAATGGGTAAGATCATTGATGTAAATTAAAAACAGTAGAGGACCTAGGATAGAATCTTGTGGTATGCCGTGTGTAATATAAGAAAAATTGGAGGAATTATTATTATAAACTACATATTGAGGTCTATTAGAAAGATTACCCTCAAACCAAGATGGCTGCAAAAAAATGCGTCTTATACACAGAGATTTATGGTAATTCATAATTATCTGTGACCCCGTGCATCTGGGAATCAGGGGGTTGTTTCTCGAAACTACAAGATCAACGACATCTCATCACTGTCGCTCAACTTGTCCGCTAAGTGTTTCACAAAACTGCCATTGCCATTGATGAGCGACCACTTCAGCGACAATTCCTTGTCACAACTCCAAATCTGTCATATCTGTTTAGAACGCCATCTCAAGGCAACTTTAATTTAGTCTATGGGCAGCGGAAAAATTGAAAAACTAAAATTTGATTTCAAAACTTATTTCTTGATCTTCAAGCTCTCATTTCACTGATCAGTTCTTATTGGTGTTAATATAAAATCATTATAAACATACAAACTGTTCTTATAAGGTTTTAAAACATTAACAAGTAAATAAGACAAATATCATTTGTACACATCTACCATAGAAAAATTGCATTAGAATGACGACAATTTTTGTGAAGGTATTTCTCTAGATAATTTCCATTTTTAAGCCTAATCTTGATACAAATCGTATCACATTAATACACTTTTAAAACTATGAGTCATAAAAAAAAAATGTTCAATTATTTTCCTAACTTTAAAATAAGTCAAGGTCTTCTTTTGATTGGTTATGAGTTATGGTATCATCTTACTTGCAAATTTACATTCGCTCGTCGCCAAAGTAACCTTGAGTTGCATCAACTTTATACATTCGTAAATATCATTAGTAACACATGTTTTCATGCAAAATGGATATAGTGTATCATTTGTGCTACCACTAACTTAGAATTTTACTTTTCAATTCAATTCAATTAAGTTTATTCATTTCCATAAAAATCACATTACAAGAACACATACATTTGCAAAAGGTACTGTAAATAACATGCAAAATATTTCACTAAAATATACATAAGTACATTAAAATATTAAACGATAATTATGGATAAGGGGAAGTTATAGAAACCCAAATAAATGAGTTTGTCGAGATATCTCCCCCAAAATGATTAAACAAAATGTGATGAACATAATAAAGATTTGAAATTACATAAACTTATTTTGCCCCAGAGAAAACTGGTATAACAGAAACAAACAAAAAAACGTACAAGCCCTACAAATACGCACATACACACACATATATAAAAAGTGGAAAGTATTCTACTCAAAATCACATGTGATTAGATGCTGCTTTACACTTCTTTTGAACCAGCTTGAGTGAAATTAAGCCTCGTAATCTAATTTGGTAAGTTAGGATAAAATCTGACTGATCTTCGCAAACACTATATATTTTTAGCCAATACTGTAGTATTAAAATAATTAATTTGTCACTGATCATGGTTTTGTGAAATGGTTTATCTATACTTCCTGACATCTCCGTAGGTCACTGACAAACGACCTTTTCACACACGAGCAAAATTCTTTAAAGCTGATTAGTTTAAAGTGCTTTAAACTAATCAGCTTTACATACGACATCATTCACACACAGAAATTTTGGTGCGATCGTTTCGTGATTAACTGCTCTTAAAATGCGCAGTAGTGCCATTGCGCATTGAAGGTCAGGTCATATCAAACAAAGCGCACGCTCCATCCAGTTTAAACACGTATAACCGTTTACACACAAAATATCAATCCCTCTAGATCTGCAGTCTGCTTTGAACGGCGTATGAATCGCGACTTCGTATCTGTCCGAACATCGTATAAACAACGTTCACACAGAAAAATTTCTTAAAAGCTGTTTGAAACTGTTGAGTTGAACAGCTTTAAATTAATCAGCTCTAGATATGATGAATTTTACCTGTGTGTGAAAAGGCTGAAAGATATGACACTCATGGAGTTGGTTTAATGAAACGACCCCCAGTGATTCCTGTAAAGTCCTAATGGAATGAGATAATTAAAGATAAACTTGAGTACTGGTAATGCGATTGCATTGTGAAAGAAAAGGTGTGGAATGGATCAGAAAAGTTGATCATATAGCATGTAAGTAATAGTGTGTAATGCAAGGTTCTAGAGTCATCAAAATCATCATAAATTTGGCAGAGTCTTGGTAAAGTAACAATCACTTACACAGATAGATGTATATGGGACAACACACATGGTGTCGGGGCTAGTACTACCCTGATTTCCTTATCTTTCTATGCTCATTACTCAGCCAGCATACATTTTCTTCCAAAATTGTTTGGCACATGACATTTATTTGTAATCTTGAACATTCAGTGTAAGTTTCGTTAGATTCTGTGAGAATTTATTTTCTTTTTTTACCAGACCTCAAGTTTATCTTTAAGCAGTCAGTGGGTTAATGAGACATCACCTAGCTCCCATTGAGCATGCCTGCCACAAACTATTGTTATTAACATGACACATACCAGGAAAACATTTGTCACGTCGTGTTACAAAGATGATTATTACCTGACAGCATGCATTATATAAAGTGTCTGCTGATACCATTCAAACTTCAATGCATTGCCATGTTGTTGTGAGATGTATTTATGCATGTTTCAACAGCATGCATGCTTGTTATTACGCAAAGGACAGTACTGCGAACAATGAACATGCATGAGCCTATAGCTGCTGAAACCTATTTTGATATCCCCCTCCCCTATAGGCTTCTACATTGTAGGTAAATGTGTGAAATACTTGTAGGTGAAATATTTATATCCTCCTATCGATATCTGTTAATCTATTCTCTCTATTTCTCCCCCCCCCCTCTTTTCTCTCTCTCTCTCTCTCTCTCTCTCTCTCTCTCTCTCTCTCTCTCCCTCTCTCTCTATGTCTCCCTCTCTCTCTCTATCTCTTCCTCTATCTTGCTTCCTGTCTCTCTCTATCTATCTCTCTCTGTCTTTCCTCCCTGCCTCTCTCTCTATCTTTCCTCCTGCCTCTCTCTCTCTCTCTTTGTCTGTCTTTCTGGTTTTTTCTCTCCCTCTCTCTCTCTCTCTCTCTATATATATATATATATATCTCTCTCCATATATCTATCTCTCTCCATATATCTATCTCTCTCTTTTTCTCTATCTCTTTGTGTCTGTCCATCTCTCTCTCTCTCTCTCTCTCTCTCTGTCTGTCTGCCTGTCTGTTTAATGTCTGAATTTATTATTTATCCTTTCTAAGATTTACAGGGAGTGCTCACCATCAATAAGTGTACATGCACCTTCAACTCCTTCTGTACCCCCTCCCCTTCACCTACCCCCCCCCCCCCCAATCCCCCACCATATCTTTCACTGATGCCTTGGGTTTTGTATATGTTATTTCAGAAAAATTTGAATTATGTTAATATGAGTTGTAATGCTTTGTTCATTTTATCTTGTAACACACCCCCCCCCCCCCCACCCCCATCAATGTCTATCACTGTTGCCTTGTATTATCACATTGTATTTTCTTCTAATTTCTGGATTATTACAGTCGGAGATTTAACACTTCATAAATTTATTTTGTACCCTTTTCAATCTCCCTCCCACACCCCTCCCTGTCCATGTCTATCACTGGTTCCTTGTATCAATATGTTCATCTTTTTCAAGATTGTCATTATTCAGTATTTGAATATGTCATGAGTTTAAACACTTTGTAACTTTCCTTTGCCTTTTGCAGGATTTACTGGGAGCGTCCACAGCCGACAAGAGCACCTACAACCCAACAAGTTCCTTCCAGGAAGAACTGTCTTCGAGGTCGTCTCTGCCAAGACCATGAAAGATGGTTACAAGAAGTTTGTGGTATGTTAAAGGAATTGGGTAACTTTGTCTCAGATTCTGAAACAAAATCCTGGATTTAGCTCATGCTTCAATGATAATTATAAACTTTTATGTCAGTCAGGAACCCCATGAATTTTACAAGCCAATCGCCTGTCTGATTATCAAGATATTTATGATTGGAAATCAAAATTTAAAAATTTGTTTTCCTAACGGTTTTTATAACACTACAGTCTATTGGGGAAATGAGTATGGTAAAACTGGTCACTCAAAGATTTTTACTTTATTTGAGGCACTTCATGATCATTTTGAAGCACAATTTTTTTAAGGGCTTCAATATTACACCATATCACAGACACTGATAACACGTAGGGCCGTGCATCTCAGATTTAACATTGTTTAAATAAACAATGCCTATAATTGCAGCAATGGAAACTAATTTAATGTGCTTTGTTTCAAGTTTTTTTTCAAGCTACCCATTGAAGGGGTTTCAGTTTGTGCTTTAACAAAATTGTTTTCACATTATCTGTTTCCTGATATTGGATTGCATTGTGTCTATACTTGGTTCTAAGTCAATTTAAATTCTATTAAAGTTCTATTAAGTCGGTTTCAATTAGTTTTCTAAATGAAATCTAAACCTTTCATATTATTAATTGCTGTTCATTATTTGGTTTGGTGGTTACCGAAATAGCAATCTTAACATTTTATTTACAGCATGCATCTGCCATTTATTTTTTTTATTGTTATTTTTGTTTTGTCTTTCACCATTGCAAATCATGCTCATCCCTGACACTCTGAGTAAAGAAGTTCAGGGAGTGTTTCATAAAGCTGTTCGTAAAGTTACGCATGACTTTACGAATGACTCGAATATGAAGAGCTAATTGGGATTCTCAAATCCTTTTAATTGCATAAGCTAAAGTTGAAATATGCAGATAAAGATTAACCTTATCATTATAAACAAAACATTTTAATGCAAAGTGTACTTTTGGCTACAATTTAATTGGGATTATGAGAAATATAGTCATACTTTGTTAAAATGTCAGGAAAACTTGGGTATCCCATTTGGCTCTTCATATTCAAATCATTTGTAAAGTCATTCGGTACTTTACGCACAGCTTTATGAAACACCCCCCTGTTTACTTATGTTTTATTGAACTATCAGTTTATATATATCTCAAGTCTGAGCTATTACTGTTATCCTAGTTAGAGTGTCACTAGGGTTTTTATGACTAACCTTTTAAACTTTTTCCATTACTCATCTTCTATAAAATCTTTTGTCCCTTCGCTAGATTTTTAGATAATTTCCTTCCTTTTTGTAACCGATGGTGTAATTATTAAATTATGACTGTATCAAAAGAGCTCTTATTGGGTCAATCGATTGTCTCTATTACCCATTATTATTTGTAGGATGTGGTTTGGAGTTTTGACAGTGACAAAACATTTTGAAGACAAATTTTAGGATGTGGTGTGGAGTTTTGACGGTGAAAACACATTTTGAGAGAAATTTTCTAAATAGCTTATCCAGAATATTTATGTAAAAACCATATCATTATTTTGTAGATACCAGCAAAATAATTTTCAGGCTTTGCCAAGAAGTCGGCCTATTGAATTTAATTAAGATGCCTGAACACAGACAAACGTATGGAACAAGGAAGTACATGAACATTTGTGAGCACTTACAAGGCAATTTTTTGTTATACCGGTATATACAATTTTTCCAGATTGGACTACAAAACATAAGTAAACTCAAATTATTTTATTTGCCCTATTAACAGTAGTATTGCTCCTTAAAGAAAGAGACCAGTTATGGTCATGCGATTGCATTGTGAAAGAAACGTTGTGGAATCGATCAGAAAAGGTTGATCATCTAGCATATAAGTATTGGTGTGTACTGCAATGTTCTGGAATCATCAAAATGATAAGAAATTTGGCCCTGTCGTGGAAAAGTTACAAGCACTGTACACAGAAAGATTATATGGGACCACATACACGTGCGCGACACATGCGTTATATCTATCAGGTCCAAATAGATATAATAATTTACCAAATATATCAATTAGTAGACGGTTTCTCTGCAAAATTTGTATCATCACGTATTAGTCAAGACATATTCTTTCACATGATTGGTAATAAGAGCTTCCAATTCATCTTTTGAGAGGGGGGCATTTCCAAACTGGTCTTTACCTTTAAGTATTAAATCTTTGTCATGCTTATTTTACACTTTGATCTTGTTCAGCTCTACAGTATAGCAGTGCTACGCACGATAGGAGCAGACACATCTCAAGCTATCATTGAGAGGCGATATTCAGAATTCTATGAGCTGAACAGAGGCCTCCGGAAGGGCTTCCCTCGGGCCATGGAGTCTGTGGTCTTCCCAAGGAAGGCCGTCACCGGCAACTACAAGCACCAGTTCATCGCAGAGCGCAGCAGAGCCTTTGAACAGTACTTGAGCCACACTTTCCAGAACGATGAAATCCGCATGAGCGAGGAGTTCCAGGAGTTCTTCTACAACCAGGACCTGAGGCGAGCCTACAAGTACATGTCCAAGCAGAACTTTGAGGAAGCACTGCCGCTCCTGCAGAATGCTCTGCACCTCCAGGAGAAGATGATCGGGGAGAAGCACCCTGATACGATACGGACACTCTGTGCAATCATCGTGGTTTATCTCTCACGCCTGGAGAGCCAGCCCCACGTGCTTGGGTACGCGGAGAAGGCACTCTCGGACATTGGCGAGGATGAGACAAACCCGTTCTTGATTCCTCTCCTGCAGACATTGATCGGGGTTAGGTGGAGACTTCAAAAGGACAAGAGAGACTTGGAAGTGAGGCTCTCACGCTATGTCAAGCCTGGACTTGATGGAGGTGACATGCCAACGCTAGAGGAATTAATCATGCAGAGTCTATCTCATCTATGAGCTTCTGCCATATTGAATATTCCGAAATTTGTAATGAAATTTTTATCTTGTTGTATATGATCATGTTGTAAAACAGTATCCTAGAGTTGGACAGTACATTTTTGTTCTCTATAATTATGTTCATGCTTTTGATAGTGCTATATTTTCGTCTTTCTATCGTTGTTCTGTATTATGCCAATGTGTTATTTTAGCAATTTTTAAAATCAGTCTGTTTCCAGCCCCATTCTCAGACAAATTTGGCTGAAGTTTATCTTCAGTCTTAATGTAACTTACAGAGGAATCTTTAAAAAAAGACATGAACCCATATGCAGGAGAGCCCGCGCTTTACAATTTTCACCTGTTAAATTGTATTCAATATGGCTGCCACTGTTAACCATTTTAATTCTATGTTACAGAGTTTTATGTACCGGTAATATAATTATATACCCATAGAGGTGCTAGTTGTGGGAGATAAATTTTGTAAATTCCTTTTTTTATGAATTCTGATCCTCAGACCTGTGTACTTACTTTGAATTATATTATATTAAGTGCATTCATCCTGTGTAAAACAAAATTTGAGTAATAACTTAACTTATAACCCGGTACCCTTTATATGCCACACAAATGTTCACACTGTGTCACATGGGATAGATATGTCAAAGGCTTCAAGATTATATATCTGGTTCCAGTGCAAGATTAATCTATACCAGTGTTAAAGGGGTTGTCATGTAGTTAATCAAGACCCAAAACGGGTCATATTGCAAAGCCATTGTGTTAATGGCACAAAGCAATCTTTCTATAAATTGGTACCTATCTTCTTTTAAAATGTTGTTGAAATAGTAGATCTTTAATATGCAACATGCAAATTCTATTGGCGTGGGCCGACAGTGTTTTTTGCAAGTACCGGTAAAGTGATTTTGTAGGTGCACAGGTCAGCAAGACCAGGGGCAGATGTAGCAGTAAGCGTGGTGTTCAAAGGTTTGCCCCCTCGTGTGGTAGGGATTTCAGAGTCTGTTAAATCCCGGGATCAGATTGATTCAGGACACTGATAATACAGGGTTTGTTACACACTTTAGGCTGTATATCATTATACAGTCAAACTACAGTCCAGAGCTAGTATTATGAATATATGATACAAGCCTGTAGCCTCATAAGGTAGAAATAATTGTAGGAATTTGCCCCCTTTAATCTAATAAATTCAATTCAATTCCATTTAGTATTTATTGTACATTTCTGGATATTTGATTTTCACTGGTGTAACATATATACAGATTAACATTTACTAATGAATTTACAAAAATGTAGACATTAACAGTAAATAAACAAGATTTAACATATGATTAAGCACAAATTAACAGAGGATCGAATATTGTTTTATAAACACTAATTCAGAACATAAGTTAACATAGTAATTAAAGCAGAGCAAGAGGAGGTGTCAGGTGATCAAACGAATTAGCAAGTGAGATAAATATAAATATACAGAGGAGGTTGGGTATCCATAATCAATAAGAAACAACCTACAGTAACTTAAATAACTTACATAGCAGTGGTGTAGCTACATAGGAATGCTATGGGGGTGCCCCTTTCTCCAATCAAATTGCAAAAGAGAGAGAGAGAGGGGGAGGGAGAGGGAAAGAAAAGGTGAGGGGGTAGGCAATGTAAAAATAGGCAAAATAGATTTGACCCACTCCTTCATACTCTCTGACTCGATGAGTCCACGGCCCTGTTCTCACGCATTTCATTTGAGTTGAAAGACTTGACCCCACCCTCCGATGCCAGTCCCCCCCCCCCTTGTGTGATCCGCACTATCCCCCATTGCTACACAGGATACATGGTTAATCATGTTTGTATTGGTACCCCTGGATCGGGATCAATGCCCCTGGTAAAATTAACACCATGAGGATCCTTATCAGGTATCACTTTCATTATGGTCGGAACTTCTGGTCTTTAACAGACAGTGTTTTATTTGACATCTATCATGTTGTCAGCTACCAAACCACAATCGTACCTCGTAATTAAATAAATGTCATGTGTCGTACAGGGAGTCTTTATGAAAATAATTAGAAATGAATAGAGGGGACAACAGGCTCTAGTATGTGAGATATCTGTATGTGGTCCTAGATGACATTATAAAACTCATGCTGGTTTGCAGCTGTCAGATGAGGGCAGTGTTGATGATAGCATGTATCTTCATGCTCATTTGTGAAATGAGAAGATCATCTGCTGAGAATGAATTCGCTGACTACTGTCTTCTGTCAATTCCATAGGCTTAATACAGGAGCTACCTAGTTCCAGTAGGCAATCAGTTAAAGCCCCACTGTCCTACTTGTCGCTACTTGCGCCCTCTATATAGAAAACTTCCCCAATCGGTGCTTGTTGGTCCCCCATGATCCTCTTTTTCTTATGGTAGTTGAGAGCTGAGTTAATGAGATAGCCACCTGTCAGTTACCTCGCTGGGTGGGTTAATCCCTTCTGGCCCAGTAGTATTGACTGTCTGTAAAAGCCAGGGTTTTAATTCTAGGTTGAATGATTTGAGTTTATACCCTTATGGCTCTGGAGAATATCGTATCCCTTACAAAAATGTCCTGTGGTAATACCACAGGATTACCACAGGATTACCACAGGACTGTACCACAGGATTACCACAGGATTACCACAGGACTGTACCACAGGACTGTACCACAGGACTGTACCACAGGACTGTACCACAGGATTACCACAGGATTACCACAGGACTGTACCACAGGATTACCACAGGATTACCACAGGACTGTACCACAGGATTGTACCACAGGATTACCACAGGACTGTACCACAGGACTGTACCACATGACTTTACCAAAGGACTGTACCACATGACTTTACCACACAACTTTACCACATAATGGTAAATTGGGACATTCCAATTTACCACAGGAATACCACACGCCAGTTACCACATAAAATTACCCCACAAATTACCACAGGAATATTTCTGTTTAATTTGTGTGGTAACATCAAGTACCACAGGAAATACAAAGTTACCACAGCCAGCCGTTGACATTACCACAGGAGTCTAGTGACATGACCACACGAGTTGCTGTGGTACATAATATTCCTGTGGTATTTTGTGTGGTAAAATCAGGTACCACAGGAATTACCACAGGACATTTTTGTAAGGGATGTTTGAAGCCATAAGGCTGTTAAGTGTTCATATATGTTATATGATATGAGTTAATGCCCTTCTGGCTCTGAACAGACAGTAATATTACACATGAAGAGATGTAATATCATTGTATTCACCTCAAGACTGAAAAGGGAAATTATCCTTCAAAATTTCCTGGTTTATTAAAGAAGAAAACTGAAACAGATCACTGAAAGTTTAAGGGAAGCCTGGTAAAGAATATGATTATTTTTTTCACTGTTTTAATTGATCAATTATTAAAAGGAGAAAACGATATGGATCAGTAAAAGTTTGAGGAAAACCTGGTAAAGAAAATCACAATTTTTTTTTTTACAGTTTTATTTGCTCAAATGCAAATTGAGCACCTTTCTCATTTGTTCTGTACTGAAAATCTGTAAATTTCCATTTTACACACTTGTTGATGAATATGGAGATTTTGTATAGAGGGGGTTGTGTACAAATATGTGTCCAGTAATACATCTAGGGCACTGGTGTAATGAAAAGTTGAAAAAAAGAGAAATTTGAAATGCCAGAATTATTTTAGTACAGGATAAGTGTGAATAGTGCCCAAAATGAATGCCGCACGATTGCCAATTTTCAACAATTTGCTCAATGGAACTTTAAAAGACTAAATTCAATGCATTGATCCTCAAGCATTCACCAATCTACTCTTGATCTTTTGCTTTTAGTTGAGCCAACTCGATGCCAGGGTAAACTTAAAGGGGGTGTAGCATGGCAAATACTGGTTAACGCAAGTAAACGAATGGACTTGATTAACGGTCAGTCCGCGCAAGCGTTCATGAAACAGACCAAAGTTCTCCTCACGCTTCGGTTTTGCGTAAGTTGCACGCACATGAATACTGCGGTCACGTCGTCCGTAGTTGATTATACCCGATTAGCCCGAGTCAGGCCACGGGAAAGACACATAGTCTCGTCATTCTACACTCCCTTTAAACAGAATAATTGTATCTACACATGTATCATTGTGTTGCCTTTTGTAATTTTTTTATATAATCTACCTTCTTTGATATTTGGTGCTGTTTTGTATCGTGTCTGTTTGTGACATATTTACACTATCTCTGTAAATGTAATCTTTAAAGTTGTTGTAAAGTGTACCGTAGTAAAAAGTATATCTTGACTTATACCACAATACTTTAATATAACAAGACCAGGTATGGTATTCGATCACAGACTCCATGATATATTGATAGATGCGAGAGGTTTTCACAGAAGCAAAACATTTCATGTATTTGGTTTGATTTGGTGTAAGATGAAGTAGTGGCCTGCATAGTTGATAAAAGATAGAAATGAAATTATGATGATCATTTGAAGGGGCCTTTAAATTGTCTGATATTTGTTCAGAATTGCTAGGGCCCCAATTATCACTGCATTGTTTCTTTTGATCAACCACTGGTCATTTGTGTAGGGTTAAAGCTTCTTATTTTCCTGATTTTTGTAAGTTTTATATTTTCAAATGACACTTTCATATATTTTTAGATTTTAAATATATGTTTTTATACATAGTATTATTTTCTTTGTCAAAAGGTACAAATCATCCTACTGTTATTTTATTTTCATTTAAAAATTTTGTATGCTGCTAGTATTGAGACAAAATAGGAATGTAAAGTTGAAAAAGAACATTCAATAATAATTATAATAATAACAGCAGCAGTAGCAACAAAAACGGCAAACTGTGGCTGCTTATTATGCAGTCGTAGACAAGCAGCCAAATATGAAAAGGCTCTAGCCTTATCAGGTACCCTATAACACCTGGGTGGAGAGTGGCAAATGTTGATTAATGTCTTGCCAAAGGACAATAGTGGTTGACTGGGATTTGAACCCTCGACCCTTGGATTAAGAGTCAAGTGGATGAACCACAATACCATGTCACCTCCACATGTATTGATAAATGTGGGGGGGGGGGGTTTTCACGGAAGCAAATCATTTCATGTAGAGTGAAACCTGTATATAAAGACCGCTCAAGGGAGACAAGAAAAAAGTGGCCTTTATAGGCAGGTGGTCTTTATGTACAGGTTCCTTTAGTACATGTTTCAATGAGACACCATTTTCAAGGGCAACAAAAAATGTGGTCTTTATAGACGGGTGGTTGCTAAAGCATGTTTGACTGTATTTGGTTTGATTTTGAAGTTGGATAGAGCAGTGGTCTGCATGGTTGATTAGTATAAAATTAGGAAATCACTTGAGAATAGAATACTCATGAATAAAGGGACCTGAAATCAATATCTGTGGATCGTTTCTTTTGATCAGTCATGGTTATAGTTTATGTGCTTGATATATCTCAGTTTCTTGTTGTGAACTAAAACATGTGAATATTTTGTAGATTTTAACTGTATATTTTGATATATTTTTATTTTCTTTGTCAAAGTTGGCAAGGGAATTTTTGAAGCAGTAACGTAAATGTACAACTCATGCTACTGAAGTTTTATTTTGTAATTGTGATTACCAATTGTACACTCCTGGTACTGAGTTAAGTATGATAATGTTAAGTTGGAAATAGAGGATTCAGTGATAATAATAATGGTGGCTTCATATACATGTAGAGTGGACATGTCCATCACGCCATGTTGCTCCTGGTACTCCAACATTATTACCCAGTCATAGACAAGCAGCCACTTATGTAACACTCTCACATATCAGGTACACCTGGGTGAAGAGTGGCATATGTGGATCAATGTCTTGGCAAGGGACGATATAGTGCCAGGCTGGAGTTTGAACCCTGAACCATTGGATTGAGAGTCAAACGAATGAACCACTCTGCCATGACTTGCACTTCCTGTATTAAAGAGGAAATGAATGCAATTTTTTTTAAACGTGTCAGTTTGCTCTCTGAGAAGAAAAGAAAAATCCCTTGATGTTGTAGTGGGGTTTGAACATTTGTTAGTGTAATACTCTTAAAACTAAACAGGGTAATTCACCACCTAAAGATTCTAGGAATTTTAATTAAAAGATTTTTTTTTTTTAATCTTGGAGGGCACTGAAAGTTAAGAGTAAAGGTGTCAAGCTTTTAAATTTGTAAAAAGTATAGTTTCATGTGCAGGGGCATTGTTACCTGTTCTGACAGAGAGAGATGCAGATTTGCCAGATAATTTGGTCAGATTATCCCCTTTCAAAATGGTTCAGCAATATCTCGGTTGAGATTAGTGTATTTCCTAGGGGTATTAGTTTGCCCTCCATCTTACAATTAAGTGAGAGGATTACAATCCATTTAAAATTGTGGAGAAAAAGTATTGAATCGATGTTGATTGGTATACAAATATTTCTCAAACTGACAGTTATTTGTTGATTGTTGGTTATCCTCAAAATATAACTACTAATACTGCCATTTGTTAGAGTAGCATTGTTCGTATTGCCTAGCTTACTGTATTTTAGTTGGGGGTATTATCATATTTCTATTTATACTTCAGAAGTTCTACCACTATATGTATACAAAAATACAAATTTCAATTTTATTGTGAGAGTACTTTCTTACCTTTGTACAATATTTCTTGACAGTTCAAAAAATATGTGCATATTATTTTGATTATGTTCAAAAGCTATAAATATTAACATGCTGAAATCCTATTGATTTTGTTCATTATTACCTGCTTAATTCTTTTTTTTGGTGGCTTGTATGGTGCTGTACATTTTGTGAACATGTTGGTGTCTACTGTTGAATGAACTATTGTTGAATGAAAAGCTAAATGTCATTTTTGTAATGCTAAAATTTCTGTTGTGAGGACCAATTGTGATGAGTTTGTGATTTGTCTCAGATTCAGGATTCTTTTACAATCGTTCAATGTGTCATGGAGTGGTCAATGAAAAAACAGATATAACTTTCATAAATTCTCTGAAAAAGTAGATTAAAAAAAAATTAAGATATGTGTTTATCTTTGTTGTCGTAAGAATAGAAAATATATCATCACATACTTCACCATACATGGTATTAAACTTTGACTAGAATGTGATTTGAATGGATTTTGTGTTACGGTAAAAAGTATGTTGGGTTTCTGTCAGTGATCATAAAATGACAAGATTGTGAAATATTTGTTTGAGCTCATTTTAGATCTAAGGTGTATTTATTCTCAATATAATTGATGTTGAGACTTCATACATAAAAGTAAGGAAATAGCTGTGGTATGAAAATCTACTTCTGTTATTGAATAGGTGAAGTCAAACTTTATACTGAATAAGGAGTTAACTCGGTTTTCAAAGGTTTTATGAGGAATGGGATATAGGTTCCCCTAAAATATTTATATGAAGAAGTTTTGAAGGATTTATTTTAAAAAATGATGAATATGTTTATAAGCCATTTAAGCTCAACTTTAAGGATTTACCTGCATGTGTAGATCCTTATTCCTGTGTGTGGGAATAGATTGAAGTTTGATGATGTTATAATGGTAAAGGAAATGCCTCCCTCTTTAGTTAGCTTTCATTATCCAGGAACTCTACCTATACCTATGAAACTAGCTAAAATAGCTTCTCTCTCCCCCCCCCCCCCCCCTCTCCTCTCACTCTCTCTCTCTCTCTCTCTCTCTCTCTCTCTCTCTCTCTATCTCTCTCTCTCTCTCTCTCTTCTCTCTCTCTCCCCCCCCCCTTCTCCATCTTTCCTGTCTTTCTTTTTTTTCTATCTGTCTTTCCCCCAGCTCTCACACTTTTTCCCCATCACAGGCAAATGTACTACATAATACAATGTGGAAACCCATTAGTCAAACATTTAGTCAAACATTTAGTCAAACATTTTGGGCATAGGCATTTAAAAAATGTTATGTTGTACATACATGTAGTATAATCATGTAAGAATAGGTTTTTCAATATGTTTCTATTTTCAAATATTAAAACTTTGTCTTTCCTCTTTCATTTCATGAAACAACCTTAGTAGAAATACAATGTATTTGATTTATTGCCTATTATATTAACGATGCCTTTCATAATATTTGTTGTTCCCGCAGTGCTTTTTCTAAAGAAAGGTAGTAAATTCTTTTTGAGAGCCTTCTTCCTTTTTTCAGTATATAGAGGTTTAAAAGTGGTTATACATTACACACTTTTTAGTAAACTTGGAAGTTTATAAGATGTCCTCTGTTCATTCTTGAATTTATATTGATTAATAAACATCACCAAATTGATACTTACCGTTGTAACATAACATTTTCAGAGAAGTGAAGGTTTGCTACCAAGGATGTCGATAGACAAGGGTTTGTGTGACCCCCCCCCCCTCCATTTTGTTGACCAATAACTTGTTATGTACAATATCAACCTTGCTAGCATATAATGTTTGATAAATATATTTTAGGAGAAGTTGTATGCAAATTTTCTCATACTGTGTTGGAAAATGTTGCTATCTGAAGACCTCTTCTTAACTTCAGTGGCAAATTCTATATAACCTAAGGACCATTTTATGTCCCTTGTTGAAGAAAGTTTGGTAAGGTTGTCAGCAGAATTGGTCAGACCCCCCCCCCCCCCCCCCCACTTTCCTTGCATTTCCTTCTTGTTGATATGCAAAAAGCTGC